TCCTTCTAGAAACGGAATCAGGCCAGTCCTAGAGTCCTCCTTTGTGCTCTGGGAGAGGCACAGTCCTGGAGAGGTGGAACTGCTGCCCCGGGTCACGTGACTGTTGCTAAGTGGGGCAAGACCTTCCTCTCCCATCAGAACGTGGGGCTTTGCAGTGGAGGGGCTCACCTGGGCTTTCTGATGTTCGGGGCTCAGGAAGCTGGAGCCTGCCATGGCCACGTCCACCCAGAGCACACTGAGGAGCAGCAGGCTGCAGATGGTCCCCGCAGAGAACATGGCTTCAGGTGGCTCTGAGGGAGAGAGGGTTTCCAGGTTGCCTGTCTCATCCCCTTGATGTGCCTCAGAATTGTTTGGGAAGGAGCCCAGCGGACAGGTGAGGGGACTCGAGGACCTGAGTGGTGACTGTGAAGTAGGGAGGGTCTCCCTCTTTAAGGTTGGGGAGAAATAAAGGTTCTGTGAATCTTGGTGTGGCAAACACTTGGGGTGTCCACCCCAGTGCTGGTTGTCCCAGTCCCTGATGATGAAGCTGAACCAGCAGGATCTCCAGGGGACAGCCTGGGATTGAGGCAGCTTTTAAATCGAGCGCTGTCCCTGAGCCGTCACATTGACCTTGGTTGTCCTTCTCCCCTTTGTGAAAATGGGTCTGCTGAGCCCAGAGAGGTTAAGCAGATGGCCAGCAGGCACACAGTAAGGCAGACCTTTAAGCACACACAGATATAAAGAGGAATGAGCCTACCTGGGATTCCTGGTAAGGTGGTGCCCAGGGGCCCTGTGGTCCTTATATAGCAAACCTGGTGTTTGTTTTAATCCAGCGACCTCATCTCAGAGGCAGCTGGCTCCTGTGTGGGCTGATGGACATTCCTGGGAAACTAAAAATGTTCATGTCCTCTGGGTAGAATCAACAGTGGAGGTCACCTGCCCTGCAGATTGCTGGGTTGGCCCAGGTGGGACTGCTCCAGCTGCCTGGCCCTAGGGGAGCGGAGGGGAGGGGGGAGGTAAGGTGAGGTAGGGTCCCGGCTCTGCTACCCTTGACCCGTGACTAGGGATGAGGCGCTTGTTGCTCCCTTAAGAGCAGGTGTAGGGTGGCTTTGTCTGTGGCCACACTTGGTGTTTTCCTGGTAGTACCAGAGGCTCTGGGCTTGGCCTTGGCCTTGGTCTTGGTCTTGGCAGTTGCTTTTGTTTCCTTGGAGGCGCTGGGGACGGACCACCTAGAGCTCCATCAGCCGCACTCCATCCCCTAACAGCTCGCCCTCCCCTGAGACTGTGGTCCTGAGGGCGAGGGGAGGGAGACTGAGTGGACCTGGGAAAGTCCCCAGCCCCGCACTGGTGCCTTCCTTGTGAGCTGTTTGGCCCCAGGCAGATCCTGGGAAAGACACACAGGCTGCGCAGTGCTTCTGAACCAGGCCCACAGGACTTGCAAGCAGGTGCCAAGGCCATTGCGCCATCAGCCCAGGAGTTCCTCACTCCCCGTGCTTCCTGTAGATGCTGACAGCTGCTCCCCAGGGTCCAGTGAGTCACCTGTGCAGAAGCCTTACTGTTGAGAGGAGGGACTCACTTCATTCTGGGGCTTGGCTACGGTGGGAGGCTGCGCCAAGTGGTGGCCTGGGGCAGCCTGGGATGCTGAGTGCTGTGCGGGAAGGTGCAGGTGCCGAATGGGCTGTGCGGCAGCAGGGCTTAGTGATCAAAGGGCTGGACGTGGTTTGAGGTCCTGTTGGGGTGGCCTGGAAAACTGCTAGTCTGAGAAGTTTGAGCTCTGTCTGTGGGACGGCGGCCACGGAGCCTTTGACCTGGGAAAGCCCAAACCATAGCATGGATGAAAGGGTTGAGAAGACTTGAAAGTCCCCGGAGCCTGAGCCCTTTATTTTACGGGGAGAAAACCTAGAAAGCAACAGGGCTGCACTTTGCCCAAAGCCGTGCAGATCTGGGACAAAGCCAGGACTCCTTCCTCGTGATGTGGTGCTTTCCGATAGCCATCTGCTTCCATGGTGACCATGGTGTTCAGGAAGATGGTCTGTTCCGAGTAGGACTGGGGCAGGCCGTCCAGTCAGGAGGACAAGGACAGCGGAACAGACAGTTGCCAGGATCCACCCTGACTTACGAGGTGGCCTTCTGTGGGGATTGGGCCCTTGTAGAGACTTGGGCAGGAGGTGCAGGCTGGGCTGCATCCCTAGGGAGAATGTGGGGGCTAAGAAACTCTTGGAGAGAAACTTTGTCATCTACCAGTGGTGGCCGACATCCCCACGTCCCAACAGCTCCTGTGCTTTCACAGCCTTGTCATCACCTGAGCCCAGGAGGGGCCAAAGGTGGAGATGGAGAGAACTCTGGAGGCCTTGGAGGCCTGTGGGTTTTTCCAGAGCCATTCCCACCCCAAACACTCCGGAACAGACAGTGCCTGACCATGGCGACCGGGCACCTACAGGGGACAGGAGCCGGCTCACTGTGTTGATCTTAGATAAGGCCACCCCCAAGCAAACACCCCCTGCTGCTCTCTTATCTTTAGGGCACTAAGAGGTGGCAGGGGTTGAAGATCCAGGTGCATACCACAGGGTCCCCGAGGAGGATGGGGAGGAGGGAAGAACAGGGATTAATGAGAACATGGGAGAGGCCCAGGAAGCACTTCACGCCCCCCCCCCCCCAATTGTAGAAGTGGAGTACAAGTCTGACTGGAGAATGCAGATCTGACCCAAAGGAGTGGGGAAGACCGTGTGACTGGGGGTCCAACATGTGGCTGTTTTCTTTTTCTTTAAGTTTGGATAATAACCAAGACTCATTGGGCAGCTTTCTGAGAGTGGGGACCTGACCCGACCCAACTGGACCTGGCTTTTTCCTGGAACTTAGTAGGGGTTTAGTGTTTGGTGATGTCCTTCCTGTGTCCGCTTCCTGGAGCCTGTCCTTAGCGATTGCTGTGTGTGGCTGCCTCTGAGAACAGGTTATCTGTGCTCACTCCTCACTGCAGTTTCTTCTGTTCTGATAATTACTTGGTTGTAGGAAGCACGTTTGTTTTTTAACCACTTTGGCCAGTCGGCCTGAGGCTGATTTGGGGGTTATAAAAGAGATGATGATTTGAGTTAGGTTTTTTTGGTGGGCACCTATGTACGACTTCTAGTACAGCATTTTCCAATAGAGATGTAATGCTATTCTCGAATGAGTTTTATGTGTAATTTAAATTTTTCTAAGAGCCATATTTAAAAATTCAAAAAAGAAACAAGTGAAATGAATTTTAATAACTATTTTAGTTAACCACTACATCTAAAATATTATCACTTAAAGGTATAATCTGTGTAACAAATTCATTTATTTTTTGGTACTGGGAATTGAACTCGGAGCACTTAACCACTGAGCTGCATCTCTAGCCCTTTTAAAATTTTTTTATTTTGAGACAGGGTGTCACTTAAGTTGCTTAGGGCTTCACTGAATTGCTGAGGCTGGCCTTGAACTTGGCATCCTCCCGTCTTAGCCTCCTGAATCACTGGGATTACAGGCGTGTGCCGCTGTCTGGCTCAGTGTAACAAATTTATTAATGAGATAGCTTGACTTTTTAAAATTAGTCGTTGAAGCCCAGAGGGCATTTTATTCTAGTGGCAGATTTCATGTTGTCAGTGGCTGCACGTAGCTCCTGGCTACCAGGCTGGACAGTGCTTGTCCTCGTGTCCAAGCCAAGCCTCCCACTGGGCTTCCCTGTTCAGGCTGTCTTGGGATTGTAGCCCCAACAACTTGCTTCTTTCCTGTCTTTAGACTCTTTCTTGACAAAAGTGTGTGCCCTTAGCCTTAAGAAATGACAGGTCCCCAATCTTGGAGAAGTCTAATTGACCCCAATCCCGCCGTCCCCTCACATCACCACCCCAAGAATCCATTCCTTTCCCTATGTCCACTTCCTTACTGGGGACTGACCCCTCACCCTGTCACCTGATTCCCCTCATCACTGTTCTCACAGAGGTACTGATGATCCACACTGGGGCCTGCAGACCTGAGTTGGGACTCGCTGGGCTCAGTGGGGAGCTTCTAAGAAAGCAGATTGGTAAGATCTCCTCAGATTTGGATCCAGGAGGTCTCTGGAGCAGGCCCCAGAATCAATTTTATCAAGTATTCCAGGTAATTCTCTTCTGAGTATAAAATAATACTTGCTTTCTAGCAGAAGATTTGAAGGTGTGTATGTGTGTGTGTGTGCGCATGCTCTTTCTGGAAAAATTCAGACCTATAAGAGTAGAGCACAATATGAGGAGGCTCCAGGGTTCCACATCCATGTTTTCTGTCTCTAGTATGGCTGTTGCTTTCTCAGGACCCCACTTCTACCCCTGTCTTGTGTACTGGGCCCCGATGGACTCAAAGGAAGCAAGGATAACCCGGTTTTGGCCCTGGCTGATAAGGAATGGTGCCACCAACTCCAGACTCTACCGGGATTGGGGACAAAAAGGATCAATTAAAATTATTTTTTAAATAATGAATGGAACCCAGGCCCTTGCACCTGTAAAGCTTGTGCTCTCTGGCTGAGCTACACCTCAGCCTCAGAAGGGTTTTTAAAGCAAATCCAAGCATGGTGTCAGCTCATCCTTGGAAATAGCAGTGTTGACAGGTTACACGATGCACGTGGGTGGCTTGAGTCAGGATCCAAAGTCCAGTTTTTGTTGAGACACTTCCCTTCCTCCACCCTTCCATCCCAAATCATTTATTTTTAAAAAAACTGTTTGTCCTGTACCACGTCCCACACTTTGAACTTTGTTGGTTGCTTTCTCATGGCATTGATTAACTTCTGCCCCGCCCCCAGTGCTTTCTGGAAACTGGCAGCTACACCTGTTCCTGGACACTTGGACTCACCTCTTTTGGTGTGAAAACGTCTTCCTGGTGCTATGAATCTACCCCTGCGCCACACTGCAAGGCTGTTAACATTGGCTGGTTCTATTTTTCTTAAGGATAATTCACGGGCATCACCAGATCCATACTTGTTGAGGTTCCCCATTATTACTAAGGGTCTTACTACCCTTGTCCACACCTGTGATTAGGGGTTACAGATGGCCTAGTGCCCTTCCGTGTTTATTAGCACTTTTTCCTTCAGCAGTTACTTTATTACCTGGATATACAGGAAAGGCAAGACAATGGCTTCATCATTTTTCTGCTTAGGAAGTGCTGGAAAGCCAACCTTTGAAAATTACTGTCATTTTCCCATTACAAAGTCATGGGTTTTTATGTATGTTCTGTTTCAGTTAATTACAGTCGTTGGTCTTTTTGATGCTTCCCCATTTGACTAGTGGATTCCTGGGTGCTTTGGGCAGTGACCCCACAGTCTTTTCTTTTTTCCTTTAGTACTGGGAATTGAACCCAGAGTGCCCAACCACTGAGCCACATCCCCAACCTTTTTATTTTTTGAGACAGGTTCCCCCTAAGTTGCTGAGGCTGGTTTTGAACTCAATTCTCCTGCCTCAGTCTTTTGAGTTGCTGGGATTATGGGTCTGCGCCACCATGCCTGGCTCACAGTCTTTAATAGCTTTTTTGCTTTCTGTCCCAGTAAGACATCTTGGGCCCATTTTGTGCATTTTCATGTCTCTGATCAAAAATCAACACCCGCCCCCCATACCTTTTCTTCCTTTTAAAGAAGACTTGGTTCCTATCAGTGGCAAATAGTTTTTAGAGACCACAATCTAGGTGTCACGTAGATACCAGAGAGGTAAAGAGTGGCATGAGTTCATGTCTGCAGTTCTACTTTCCATAGTTTGAATCACTTCAACTTTGATCTGAAAATACTACATGGAAAATTCCAGAAATAATTTATACGTATTTTCTATAATTTTGTTTCTGTTTTGAGCAGGGGTCTCATTGTCGTCAGGCTGGTCTTTCAAACTTGGGCTCAGGTGACCCACCTGCCTCCCTTGTAGCTATAACTATAGTCAGATGCACCCAGCTCAAACATTTTAAATAACTTCTGAACATTTTAAATAACTTCTATTGCATATGTTATAACTGTTTTAGTTTTCATTATTGTTGTTAATCTCTTATGTGCCCAGATTCTACTTGAACTTCATTAGAGCTATGTTTGTAGAGAGCTTAGTTCTGGTGGTATCTTCAGTCATCCACTGGGATCTTGGAACATGTGCATAAGGTGACTACTGCAGTTCCAGAGAACCTCAAAAACCAGGTTTTTGCCCTTTCTTTTCCCATTATTCTGAGACATTGATTTCTGATTACCTTCACAAAATAATCTCTTGTTTGCTTTTACTATAGCAACATACTTTCAGTATAAAGGATAGTTCAATAACTGCTAAGCATGAAACTATTTAATGCAAGCACTAGGGGTATAGAGTCAAAACATCTTTATCTTCTGGTTCCTGAGCTTGATATAAAACTTATATTTCATTCAAGGTTTTTTTCTAGTTTTTAGGAAATTTTCCTTCATGGTTTTGTTAAAGGTTGATTTCTGGAACCATGTAAATGCTTTAACAAGGGGCATTTGGAGAGTACGTCTCTTGCCTGTCCCTTCTACTCTTCCTTTTCTTCCGTAACTATCTTGTTGTGACTTTATTCTTTGAAAGTGTGTTGCTTCAATTTCCAAATGTCCAAGGATTTTCCATGTATGTTGTTGATTTCTATTTCTGGTTTCCTTTCATTCTTGTCAGAGTATGTCCTATATGATTTTTGTAGCTTGAGGTTTGTTTCAAGGTCCAGAAATTGTGTAAGTATCCAGGTGCAAGGAACGAAGGTATTGTGGGTGGGTGCTGTTGAGGCAGCTGGGTCAGGCTCTGAGCTATGGCTTTGTGGATTCTAACCTCGCAGATGCTTGCTGGAAGAGGAGTATGGAGATTGCCCACCAAAATGGTAGATTATTTCTCGCATTTCAGAGCTGTTACGTGTGTCCACATACAGGATTACATCTCTATCCCCGTTATATTTGTTGTTCTCTTTTGATTAATATCTGTACATTACATACATTTTTTTTCTAGTACCAGGCACTGAACACAGGTGCTTTACCACTGAGCTACATCCCCAGCCTTTTTAAAAAATTTTTACTGTGGGGCTGGGATTGTGGCTCAGCGGTAGAGTGCTTGCCTAGCACGAGCTGGACCCGGGTTCGATTCTCAGCACCACATAAAAATAAAGGCATTGTGTTGTGTCCATCTACACCTAAAAATCAATAAAAAAAAAAAATTTCCCTGATATGGGGCCTCGTGGAGGCTGGTCTCACAGGTGAGTACCACACTGTGTCTGGGTGTTATTTTTTAGTGTTCTACTACTGAGGCATGTCCCCCAGCCTTAAGGGGGCCTTTGAGATTCTTTTCTCTTTTGTGATGGGGTCAGACTGGCCTTCAAAGTAACTGTAGATGGGCACCACCCCACCCAACTAATTTGGTTTAAGTCTCCCATTGAGTCACACTTGGTGCAGTAATTTTGTTATTGGATACTGAACACTGTTAAGAGCTGGATTTTTTTTCTCTCTACAGAATGTTGGGCTTTTCCCAAACATTGGAATTACTTGTTTGGTCCTTTTCAGGTGTGGCTCAGCCTTTGCTATAGAGGTCATTCATGGTGTGTTACTGGGGCATGAGGCTGCCTTCTCCTAGGGCTGTATAGTGAAGTCGTTCCACCGTCAGGAGGTGAGCAAGGGCCAGAGATTGGCCTGTTGCTTTCTGGCCACTAGTTACCATTACAAGCATGAAGTGTCCTGCCACGTTGCCTTGACTTGGCTAAGTGGTGTGAGCTATAGAGCACACGGCTTGCTGCAGCTGACTTGACCAGGAGCTGCAGCCATGGTAGGAAGACAAAACCATTCTCCATTTGTTGAGGGCATCTGTCAGTAGATCTAGGAAGCCTGTCCTTTGCTTGCAGAGCAGAGCTTGTTAGGAATGGCAGTCCTGGACATGAGGCTAACCTGAATCAGGGACACCCCTGTACTGAGGAGTGTGTATGCCAAGGGGTCAGACAAATGGGACCACATCAGACTTGAACACTTCCACGTAGCAGAAAAAACTGGCAGGAGAAATTATCTTCATATTGGATAAGGGGTTAATATTTGGAATACTTGAAAATTTACTCTAGTTAAAGGTGAGTTTCTGCTCTCTGAGGCCTCTACTGTTATTTCAACCAAAGTGCTTCCACTTTCTTCCTGAAAAATAAGGGAAGGATGCAGTCAAGGGGTCCATGTTTGCCTGACCACATCACCCCTCTTGGAGCCCAACACTCTTACCAGAGCCTGGTCAGTGCCCTTCTGGTCCACTCATCTGCATCAACCTTCAGGGTGGAGTCCTCACAACTGTGGTGCCTTCAACATGAAGTGAATCTTGAAGGAACTCGTACTGAGGCAGGTTGAGGTTTTGCCTCGTTAGGGGTGTGTTAGGAAAATGAAGAATTCTAAGCAATATGATTTTTATTTAGTTTGGGAACAACCTCCCCCCCCAAATAATGCCCCAACCCAAAGGTACATAAAAATGGCCAAAAGTATTTCAAAATAATAGACTTGAAGTCATTTGTAGTTTCTTCAGGACATCAATGCTTTGAGCCGGGCAGTAAATTACAAACCTCATAGAATCGTGTTAAGGCAGATGATCCATCTGTGGTAGCATTTGTAAGTGTTCCTAGGAAGACGGTCCTGGTGGACTTGGGTGCGCCTCTTCCCACTTGCTTGGTCAGTTGTCCCAGTAAGGGGCAGTCCTGGAGTGGCAGGTGGGGAACCAGGCCCCATCTGTGGTGTCACTGCTCATTCTGCTGGCCCTCTGTGACGGAAGCTGACACGAAGCCCTGGCCCTTATTCACGTCACTGATGCAGACCCACTGCCCGTCCACGGACTCCTTCCACAGGGTCACCTACAGGTTAGCACAGCGTGTGTCATCAAAATGAGGTAAAAGCAGGAACGACACCCACGGAGTTGCTTATGGTTTCACAACCTGACTTCAACTTGGAGGTTAAGTTTTTAAGGTAGTAGTGTGCCACTTCTACATTGAGGAAATACCTGAGAGCAGGCACAATCTGTCTCTCTGCAGAGTAAAAAAAAATCTAAAAGAACTCCGAAGATAGAATAATGTGTCCTTTGTAGGAAGCCACAGTCCAGCATCTGTGCCTTGTAAAGGTTACCACACATAAGTCTAGGCCTCACGGGGAGGGCGGGCCTGATCTATCGTTGTAGCACCTCAGTTGCCTGCAGCGGGTCCCCACCGTCTACCAACAATATGCTCAGTCAGCTTTAAAGTGGGCAGTTATTGACACCTAAAGAAAAGGTTAAGGGTGGGCTGTCATTCCAGCCCTCACCACAGGAAAGTGTGAGATAAAGGTCTGTCTTGTTTTGCACCCTGGGGATGGGACCCTAAAATGAACACCTATTTTTGATAGGTTTTCTCAGTAAATGCCTACCTACTGGGATGAAAAGTGTGTACCAGGAGAAATAGCTTCTAATGTCCCTTCCAACCCACTAATCAGATAGGCAGAGTGGACATACCTTATTGTCTCCACCAGAGACAGCCAGGATGTTGGCGGTGATGGACCAGCTCACATGCCACACCACATCGTTGAACTTATGCAGTAACTTAGGTGACCACATATTGCCTGAGGCATCATCACAGGTCCAAATGAACACTCGGCCATCCTGGGAAAAGAGGTTGGAGTCAGGACTGTCTACCCTGAGGAACTTAGGCCACTGCTCCTGTTTTCTCCTTTGTGCCTATCAAGCCACTTAAGGGTATGTGGCTCCAACAGTGGCATGCAGGGGACACATAAAGCTGTGTCCACCTACTAAAATCTGTTTCATTCAACAATGGCTTCTCACTTTACAATCAAATAAAAAACTTTCTTGCGTACAGGGTGGCCAGATGTGCTTGTCCTACCTGATTCTTTCCTGGGCCCCTCCAGAAAGGAGGGGCAAGCAGCCCTGAATGATGGCAGTTTTAATGTGTGGGTCTGGGCTGACCTGGGAACAGCTGGCGATGGTGCTCGTGGGCAGGCCAATGGAGGGAGCCCAGGCGACATCGCGAACCCAGTCGCTGTGCGCCTCCAGCTTCTGCTCTTCTTTCCACTGGCCGTCCTCCTCCTCCCTGTGGGAACAGGAGCATTCAGCAGGGAGCTGTGCCACCTTCCTCCCCATCCCACAGGCCTCTGCTAGAAGTGCGGTGACCTTTTAGAAAAAGGGGGGAGGAACAGAAGTGACCTTGTGATCTAGCACTCCAGCCACTCACTTCCATAGCTTGATGAGGTTGTCACAGCCCCCAGATGCAAACTTCTTGATGTAACTGGGCTTCTGTCCTGACGGCTGGTCTATGAGGCTTCCGGGGACCACGGCAGGGGCCCAGCTGACTGCATTGCAGCCAATCTGTAAAGAGGGACCCAAGTGACGAGCTTGCCCTCTGCACACACCTGAGGCTGGTAGTCACGTCTCCAGGACTAGAAAACATGGCCCTTGAGAGAAGAATTAGGCACGGACAATTCTCCCTCAAGGAAGCCTAACTGCGTCTACGCACATGTAGAATTAGGGACTTTACGTGAATGGAGGCCACACTGGGGTCCGATAAAACCACACAGATAAGCCCTTGGCTTAATGAACTCTGAAGCACTCTGGAAACCCGGTCAAGAAACGACCACCCCCCCCACCTGAGAAGCCTCTCACTTTGTGCCGTGCCACCCATGTGCTCACTACATTAATCCATTTAATTAGGACAGTGGTGCTGATTTTTTTCCTCTTCATAGTTTTCCTGCTGAACAAACGAGAGTCACCTGACCCCTAGGCTCAGTTGGGCTCTTCTGAATTCTTGAACGCTCATCTGGAGCCAAGGCTGCGCCACAGGGCTCCAGCGCTACTAGGAAGTGCCAGGTTGGCCACTCTGGGCTTCATTCTAATCCAATAGCTATTGGATCCATATGCTCATTTGACAGGTTTTATTTAGTGCACTTATTTTTGTTACTGGGGATTGAACTCGGGGGCACTACCACCGAGCCACGTTCCCTCCACCAGGCTCCTCACCTTTAAAGTTTTTTATTGAGAGACAGTGTCACACTGAGTTGCCAAGGACCTGGCTAAGTTTCTCAGGCTGGCTCTGAACTCCTCCTGCCTCACAGCTGGGATTATGCCACCAGACCCAACTCACTGTATTCTTGTCCCCCTCAGTCTGTGCTCAGCTTGGCTCCTCTGACACAACCTTACCGTGTCCAACACAGCTCTGATCATTTCTCTACAGGTATGACGTTCTAGGCTTTCCCTGTATATTTCCTGCCTCAGACCTGGGATCCCTCTGGTTTGAGAAACTATTTCAAAATTATAATCTGGGTTCTAGGGATGCTCACAGCCCCAGAATTACATGTGGCTTTGTCTCATTTCACACAAACCTTTCTACTGCCAACATGGTTACTAAAGACATTTAAAGAGACTTTGCAAATGTTTTTTCCCCATTCTCCCTCACGCTGTTCATCCCCACCACTGGGGAGGGAGTCTAGGGGTGCTCTACTACCCCCCACCCAGCCTCCCTTTAATTGAGATGGACACAATATCTTTATTTTTATGTGGTGCTGAGGATCTAACCCAGTACCTCACACACGCAAGGCAGGCGCTCTACCACTGAGCCCCAGCCCCAGCCCTCCCTCCCTCCCTCCCTTTTTTTAAAAATATTTTTTAGTTCTCGGCGAACACAACATCTTTGTTGGTATGTGGTGCTGAGGATCGAACCCGGGCTGCAGGCATGCCAGGTGAGCGCGCTACCGCTGGAGCCACATCCCCAGCCCCCTCCCTCCCTCCCATTGAGACAGAGTCTGGCTACACTGCTTAGGCTGGCTTCCAGCTTGTGATCCTCTTGTCTCAGCCTATCAGCAGCTGGGATTATGGGTGTGTCCTTGTGCCCAACTCCCTTGAATATTTTGTTTTTTGTACCAGGAGTTGAGTCCAGAGGTGCTTAAACACTGAGCCATATCCCAGGCCATTTTTTGAGACAGGGCCTTGCCAAGTTTTTGAGGCTGGCTTTGAACTTGTGATCTGCCTGCCTCAGCCTTGTGATCTGCCGTGATTACAGGCATGTGCCACCACGCCTGGCTTAGATACTTTATGTGGCCTTCTCTGGTGCTCAGATAAACCCAGGGCCTTGTGAATACTAGGCACACACTATCACTGAGCAGCACCCCCAGTCCTGAAATCCTTTTTCTTATGCATGAATCTGTGATAATCTAACTTGGTTTTGCCCAACTTGTTTTCTTGTTTAAAGTCCAATAATTTTACTAGAATTGTCTTTCTTGGTGACTCTGGGTTGATGTTCTTTTTTGGTACCAGGTATTGAACCCAGGGGCACTGATCCAAATCCCCAGCCATCTTTATATTTTGAGACAGGGCCCAAGTTGCTGAGGCTGGCTTTGAACTCTCAATCCTCTTGCCTTAGCCTCCCTAGCCCCACAGGTATGTGCCATCGTGCCTGGCGTGGGGTGATGTTCTTAAATACAGAATTAGATCTCTTAATCGAGTTTCAAACCCTTTAAAGGTTTTCTTGAATCTTTTTAGTATTTCGTTTTCTTCAGAGACTTATTGGTATATTTCCCATTTGCCTCTATGAAAAGCTTGCTCCTGTACTTCTAATTTCATGTTTTCTATTTCCAATTCTTTCCTGAGTTCTGTTTCTTCATTTTTGAGTTTCTCCAATTTTGACTTGTGCTTTTTTTTTTTGGTACCAGGGATTAAACCCAGGGTTGCTTAACCAATGAGCCACATTCCCAGCCCTTTTTTTTGGTGGCGTGTGTAGTTTTTTAAATTGTTGTTCTTTTATACATGATAGAGTGTATTTTCACCTATGATACATATAACTTCCCTTTCTTGTGGTTGTACGAGTTTCGCTGGTTGTGTATTCATGTAAGAACATAGGAAAGTTAAGTCTGATGCATTTTACTGCTACTTTCCTATTCCCATTTGCCCTCCTTCTCCATCTAATCCAATGAACTTCTGCCCCCTTATCATGTGTTACCACCCACAAATCAGAGAAAACCTTCTGCCTTTTGTTTCTTGGGATTGGCTTATTTCACTTAGCATGACGGTCTCCAGTTCCATCCATTTACCAGCCAATGCCATAATTTAATCTTTATGGCCGAGTAATACTCGTGTGTGTGTGTACACATATATAAAATGAATGATCTGGGAAGGGTGGCCAGGTGTGCCTGTCCTGATTCTTTTTTGGGAATACCCCTGGGCATACACACATACACACACCCACCCCACATTTTCTTCATCCATTCATCTGTTGGAGGGTACCTAGGTTGGTTTCCATAGCCTAGCTTTTGTGAATTGAGCTGCTATAAACATTGATCTGGCTACTTTTTGAGTCAGGGTCTCACTAAGTTGCCGAGGCTGGCTTCTAACTCACAATCCTCTTGCTTTAGCTTCTTGAGCTGTTGGGATTACAGGCATGTGCCACCAGGCTGGGCTCTCCTGATTTATATACATACCTCTTAGCTTGATATGCAACAGTGGTTACAGTTTGATTCTTTATGTGGGCATGTCTTTGCAGTGTGCTCTCCTTGTAGGGATATTATTTGTGTAATTTTTCTTGGTGTGTCTGTGGTGCTGGGGATGGAACTTGGGGCCTTGAGCATGGCAGGCAGCACCAACTGTTACTAACCTACTCCCAGCCTAGTTTTCTGCTTTATTTATGAGATTAGTGTAGTGATGAAGGTCAGCAAGTGGTGGCTCACAGCAGTTCTTGACCCTGTTTCTTCCCAATGTTGGTCTACCCTCTTCTATCCTTCTGTGTCCCTAACTGGCTCAATTCTGATTTCACCCCAGCAGTCTCCCCTTGTGACAGGACTTGCAGTTCTTTAGTCTTTCCCACTGTGGTTCAAGAGAGTACAAGACCCTCCCAGGCATTTCTCTAAAGAGGACATTGAAATGGCTAGAACCACAGCAAAGATGCCCATTTTGATGAGCAAAATGAAAATACAAACCACAGCAACCACCACCTCACACCCACCAGGACAGCACTGACCACAGAGATGGCTGTTGATGAGGATGTGGAGGAGGAGTACCTCGTGCTGCTGGTGGGAACACAGGATGACGACATGGTTCAGCAAATTCACCTCGGTGCACCCAGGGGAAACCCACCCGTTGATGCAGAAACCTGTCCCTGAACATTCACAGTAGCATCTAGTCATGACAGCTGAAGGTGCCCATCAGCTGGGGAATGGCCAAACATGTCATGCACAGCCACAGTGGGAGCATGACTGGCCATAGAAAGGAACATGCAAGACATGCTGTGACATGGGTGAGCCCTGAGAATCTCACAATTGTTAGTTCCTCCTTTCATTCATGAGTTTGTGAGAACAAGGCACAAGGCAGGGGCTCCATAGGTGTGTCCCCCACTGTCCACACTGTTTTCTGGACAATTTCAAACTTAAGGTCCAATGCCTAGGAGCACATGGAACTCAGACACTGTGATGCTTTCTATAGCCACCTCAACTCTAGGGGTCCCAGTGGCTGTTGCAGGGCGTGTTGACCAAGCCATCCACAGCTAAGGCAACAGGGGGGGTGGGCTGCTGCTGCCCCAGCCCTCCCCACCGGGGGGCTTACCAGGAGGAGCCAGTGCTAACCTTGCCCTGGGCAGCAGAGGCTGTGCAGCTGCTCGGGCTTCAGAACAGGAGGCTCAAGCATGTGACCAGCAGCCCTCCTGGCCCACAACTCGCCACCCCCCAGCCCACACACAGCACTACCCTCTGCATGAAGGCAGGGGCTGGACTTACGGTGTGAGCGTTGTTGATCTTCTTCACTTCCCACTGGCCTTCCCCGGTGTAGGTCAGCAGGGAGATGGCCCCATCCGAGCTCCCGCAGGCCAGGATCAGGCCGTAGTCATGGGGGGCCCAGCACACAGAGTTCACTGCAGAGGGAAGGAGGGAGGGAAGGAGGGAAGGGGCAGTGAGCGGGGACAGCAGGCGCGGAGCCGCAGGCCAGTTTCCAAGATCTATGGCTTTACTACATTTCTAAAATAATTGTAGGGATCACTGCGGGCAGTTGTGATTTTGTCAAAGACACAATTATCTACTAACGTTATCATTTCATCGTTCGTCTTCAAAAGAGTAGAAGGAAAACCACCTGAGAATAAAGGCTGGTACTTAAATGAATAAACCTTAAGGAAAATTCACTGTGTTGTGCTTATGCTTCTCATTTTGCTCTGGACTGGCTTTGGATTTGGGGCCTTATCCCAACCTGTAAGGGGCATCAGCCCGAGATACCCACAGCTAGGATGGGAGAGAGGGACTAGCAGAAGGCCAACCAATCCCAGGGGACAGATAAGCCCCACTACAACAAGGGAGCTAGGGCTTCAGGAAGGACAGAATCCCTCTTCACCCAGGGGTTGACTGCCCACCAGCCCCATGTACCGGAAGAGTCGTGTCCCGAGTGCTCATGGGTCTTCTCCCAGGTGCCGTTTTCCTCTTTCCAGATAATGACTTTCCGGTCATAGGAGCAGGAGGCCAGGATATTGCCATACATGGGGTGGGCCCAGGCCACCTGCCACACAGGACCCTCATGCCTGCAAGGGGAGGGGTTGGAGCTGCTCAGGGGGAGTCAGGGGAACCCAGGGCTCTGCCAGGCTCTATTCTGGACAGAACTAAATAAAGTCTGCCCAAGAATTCCAAAAGGGGGGCTGGGGCCGAGCGGTAGAGCGCTTGCCTAGCACGTGTGAGGCCCGGAGTTCGATCCTCAGCACCACATAAAGATATTGTGTCCATCTACAACTAAAAAATAAATGTTAAAAAAAAATTCAAAGAGACAGTACAGAATGCCACTGCCACAGGGACACTTACTAGACAGTGAGGACCCTAATGTCCTGAGAGGTTGAGCACCTTGAGGTCACAGTCTTTTGACAGACAGGACTCCAGCAGCCTCCCTGTGGCAGCCACGAGAAACCTCGCTCTGACTGCGGCCAGCAGTGCCCGTGTCCACTGTTGTCTACACCCACAGGTGATCAGCACCTGTAGACGGAGTCACAATCCACTCTCCACACTCAGCTTCTGTGTGTTTTACTTTGATATTTTTCATCTGTTCAAAAGGCACGTCCTTCCCTTCTCTCCTCATCTGTCCATTCACCTGCTGGCAGGCATCATCTGCATACGCTGCAGCAGGCCTGGCACGGGGGCTGTTCCTGTGGTCAGGGAGGGCTGCATGCTTAGCACACAGTGGGCAGCCTGCAGGTACTCAGGCCCCTGCAAACCCACTCCCCAGCTCTGGACTTCGGGCCAGGGTCAGATCTCCCTGTGGCTTTTTTTTGGGGGGGGGGATTTGTTTTTTAGTTGTAGATGGACACAATACCTTTATCTTATTTATTTTTATGTGGTGCTAAGGATCGAACCCAGGGCCTCACACCTGCAAGGCAAGTGCTCTACCACAAAGCCACAACCACAGCCCCTTGACTTTGTCTATTTAAAAAATGGACCGATCAATAAGATTTCTTTCACAAGGTGGTCACAAGGGTTAAATGTGATAACTCACATACAAAGCTTAGAAAAATGCTTGGTACAAAAAGAAAAAAAAAGGATGTGGGGGGAAAAGGTACACTCACACATTGCTGGTTGGGACTGCAAATTGTCGCAACCATTATGGAAAGTGGTTTGGAGATTCCTCAGAAAACCTGGAATGGAACCACCATTTGATCCAGTTATCCCACTCTTTGGTTTATACCTAAGGGACTTAAAATCGGCATACTACAGTGTCACAGCCACATCAATGTTTATAGCAGCTCAATTCACAACAGCTAAACTATGGAACCATCCTGGGTACCCTTCAACAGATGAATGGATAAAGAAAATGTGGCACATATACATAATGCAATCCTACTCAGCCTTAAGGAAGAATGAAATTATGGCATTTGCTGGTAAAAGGATGGAGCTGGAGAATATCATGCCGAGTGAAATTATCTAATCCCCCCCAAACCAAAGGCTGAATGTTTTCTGATATGCAGATGCTAACTCAATAAGGGGGTGTGTGGGGCTAGGAAAGAATAGAGGTACTTTAGAATAGACAGAGTGAAGGGAGGAGAGGGGGTAGGGGATAAGGAAGGAGAGTAGAAAGAATCTCAGACATTATTACCCTACGTACATATATAACTACATGACTAGTGTGATTCTACATCATGTACAACCAGAAGAGTGAGACATTATGCTCCATTTACGTATGATGCATCACAGTGCATTCTACTGTCATGTATAATGAATGAGAATTTAAAAAAAAAAAAAAGACACTTAGCCTTTAGCTCTGAAATTTAAACGAGACAGTGTTAAAAATGTGCTGCGAGTCCCTAAGAGCACTGTTAAGACAATGACAAGACATGAGGTGCTCCTGAATGGCAGCGGTGTGTCGCCCACGACCCCACACACTGTGCAATCCTCATGGCCACCATTTCAGAATCTCACCCTGTGGGTTTGCTTTCTACAGCTACTTGTGATGCCATTATCTTGGGTTCAAGTTCCTTTAAAGAGCAGACCTTAGAAAAGGGGTGTGTGTAGGCAATTTGTTTTGGAAAACAATCCTATAACTAGGAAGAGGAAAAAAATGGTGAAAGGGGAAACCAATCCACTGTTATATTTTTGAGCCGATTCCTACAATGTGGATTTGGGAGAATCAATTGCTGGGAACCTTTGCAGAAACACGGGGAATACACCCCAATATTGTCTGGCCAAGGCAGGGAAGCAGCAGCATATGTCTACTGGCTCTAATGCCATAATTTAATAGGAACATCACTGACCTGGACCTCAAGGTTTACATAAGACTTGGAATGTCGAGATGTCTTATTCTGCCAGACTCATCTCTACCACCCCCTTGGTATTTCTCTGAAGTAATTAAAGTCAGATTTCTTAATGACACATGCACACCCATATTCACAGCAGCACAACTCATAAGAGCCAAATCATGAGAACCAGCCTAGGTGTCAGTCAACAGATGAATGGATTAAAAAAATGTAGTATAGGGGCTGGGGCTCAGCGGTAAAGCACTCGCTTTGCAAGCACAAGGCCCTGGGTTTGATCCTCAACACCACATAAAAATAAATGAGGGCTGGGGATGTGCCTCAAGCGGTAGCGCGCTCGCCTGGAATGCATGCGGCCCGGGTTCGATCCTCAGCACCACAAACAAACAAAGATGTTGTGTCCGCCGAAAACTAAAAAATAAATATTAAAAAATTCTCTCACAACCAACAATAAAAATTAAAAATAAATAAATAAGTAAGTGAAATAAAGGTATCGTGTCCAACTAAAAAATAAAAAATATATTTTTAAAATGTGGTATACGTACACACAATGGAGTTTATTTGGCCTAAAGAAAAAAAATTATGTAATTTTCAGGAAAATGGCTGAAACTGGTAAGCATATGTTAACTGAAATATAACAGACTCAGAAAATCAACAGTCATGTTTTCTCAATTATGTGAAAGGTGGAAAGAAAAACAGGGAAAAAGGATTTCATGAAAATAGAAGGGGGACCAGTGGCTCGGGAGGCTGAGGCAGGAGGACCACAAGTTCAAAGCCAGCCTCATCAATAGCAAGGCACTAAGCAACTCAGCGAGACCCTGTCTCTAAATAAAACAAAAAATAGGGCTGGGGGTGTGGCTCAGTGATCAAGTGCCCCCAGGTTCAATCCCCTGTACCCCACCCCAGGGTGGGGTACAAAAAGGAGGGAGCCCTTTAGGATAGAAAAAGTGAAACTGGAGGCACTGGTGATTGATTTGATCAAATCATCATGGGGCGGGGCGGGGGGGGGTGCAGGAAGACCACCAAACCAAACCCGCTCAATGCCAGGAGATGCCCTTGGTTACTTCTCTGCCCTAGAGCAGCAGCCACTGCACCCTGGCTGGACAACACTATGTTCCCAACACCTGGGAAGGAGCTGCTGATGGCATTGAACGGACTTGAGTCCCAGCAACGGGCAGAGTTCTGACGGAAGCACATGTTTGGCTGTGTCTTTCACATCATTTGAGCATGAGGAAAACCTGCAGGGAGCTCAGCTCCTGCACAGGACTCTGGCAGCTGGCTCCTCAGTCACTTGTCCTCAACACCCAGGCGGAGGGTGACTTTCAGTTTCATTTCTCTAAATGGGTGACAGTCTGCTTTAACGCAGCTCAATACATCCTGGTACCTCTGTCAGGGCTCTGCTCCTGGGCAATCTAGCAAGGTCAGGGATGCTCAGAAGAGGGCACAAAAAAGACAGAAGCTGACCACACCGACCCCCTGATCTTGAAATAGAAACCCAGACACTGAAATCAACAACTGATAAGCCCACAGATGGGCTGACTGACTCTAGTGGCACGTCTAATAACCATTGTGATGCAAAGTCACAAGTATTGTAAGAGCTACAACTGCAATGTAAAATGAAAATACCTGTGACATCCATTGGTGCCAAAGTGACAGCACTACAAACACTACTGTGGTTTCTGCTGCACCTCCAAAATTGAAGGAAGTGTGAAATATCAGTCACGAAAAATAAAGGTGATTCTTTTCCCCCTTGCTCCAGTTCCCCGAACCCTGTGTTCTTCCCACAGCACCTTGTGGATCTCAGGTTAAAACCCACAACTCTGTGAAAGGCAAGGAACTTGGGGGTGAGCAAAAAAGTGATTCAGGATCTCAGTAGGGAGAAGGGGAAATCAAACATATTCAATCAACACCTGCCATTGGCAAACAGAACAACAGATTAAAAAGTTTATTCTTATAGTAAAGCTCTTGAGATCACATAGGCTAAACCATATAAAATGGCATAGTTTACCACTTTTTCCCCCCACATTCTTTTTTTGGGCCAGGGATTGAACCCAGGGCACTTCAGTAGTGAGTCACATCCCCGGCCTTTTTTATTTTTTTGAGAGACAGGATCTTGCTCAGTTGCCAAGGCTGCCCTCAAACTTGTCATCCTCGTGCCTCATCCTTCCAAGTTGCTGGGATCACAAGCACGAGCCCCCACACCCACTGTTTAAATGTATCAGTACCTGCTCACACTGAAGATGAACTGGGGGCTGGCTGTGTAACACATGCTCCTTGGGAAGGAAGCAGGATGAGCCCATCTTGAGGGTATGTAGATAAGGATTCAAGAGGTCAACTACCTCACTTGCCCCAAGTACTCTAGTAGGAGTGTGGGTGCAGATCCGGGATTCACCGCCGGATCCACCTGTGCCCTTAGCTGCATCCCCCCTAGGGGCATATGCTGAGGTCAGCTGGGGTGCTGGGACCCAGCCATCTTTGCTAAATATACTTTGGGGTTGCTCCGAATCCTGGCTCCATCCTTTCCTCAGGCTCAAGGCAGGGCCTGAGGTGTCACATGATTCTGGCAAACCTTCTCTGGGCTTGCCCACACTTACCCCCTGAGGTCGGCGATGAGGATCTGTCCCCCATTGCGCACATCGAAGATTTTGACGGACCTGTCTGAGGAACAGGTTGCCAGGCGGGTGCCATAGTAGTCCATCTGGGCATCATGCTGCAAAGGGAGGACAGCTTAGGAAGCCTGCAGGCTGGGCAGGCGGGGTGAGGGCAGTCACCAGACAGAGACTAGTTTGGACTAATCTACCCGGAACTCACTTTTTGGTATCGGGAATTGAACCCAGGGGCACTTTACCACTGAGCCACCTCTCCAGCCCTTCTTAAGACAGGGTCTTGCTAAGCTGATGAGGCTGCTCTGAATTTGTGATTCTCCTGCCTCAGCCTCCCAAGTCCCTGGGATTACAGGTGTGCACCACTGCATCCAGCCACCCAAAACTAATTTGATCCCAAAGAATTGTCATCACTAGGCAAGGAGATACTCTCTGTTAAGTGATGTCTTTCCAAAAGGGACAAAACAAACCATACTCAGCTGGTTTTACATACCATTTACACACTCTCAGGAAGGTCTCTTTAATCCTGTTCTGTTGGGTGAAGATGGGGAAACCAAAGCTGGCCCAACCCCCCTTTCTCCTTTCTCTCAGGCTCCATGGTGTATTGGGAAAGGTACAGAGGTCCAGCTCAGCCCCAGAACCCAAGGCTAACACTTGAAAATAGGTCCCAGACAGGTCCTCGGGACTGCACACAGGGTCCCACTCAAGATATTTGGGTTCCTGACTCCACCCAGAGGCCCTTTTCCATACTGTTGGGCCTAGTAACTCTGACTCCCACCCAACAGAAACAACATCTTAGGTGTCACTGGCTGTGCCACTCATGAACCAGATTCCCAATGCTGCCTGACCACCCAGAGCTGGGCTGGCTCCTGCCCACAGCCCCTTCTCTCTGGGTGATAATTCCTCTGAGGCACTGTGCCTACTGCCCTCTACCCTGGCCCTTCTGCTTGCGGGCTTTTCCCTATTCCAAGGATGCTATTCCCTAACTGTCCTGCCTGGAGGGTTTCAGAAGTGATTAGCTGTCACCCCTGTGGTCACCATGAGCAAGCGTGCCCTGTGAAAGGAAGCATTCCGTGTGTCTGCCTCGGCCCTCCTTTCTCACTGCCCCACCCATGGAAAACTGACTCCTCTTTGGAAATCAGCCCCCCTCCCCTGCTGTGTTGGGTCTGGCTTTCTGGGGGGCAGGCAGTGCAGGTGCATTCCCCAGGTTCTTCTCCAGCAGGTGCTACCACACTGTGAGAGGAAGCAAGGCATAATACCAAAGAGATCAAATCCTAGCTCCTTATCTTATCTGCTGTGCAACCTTTGGGTAATGACCTCACCTCCTTCAGCTTTAATTTCCATATTTAAAAATGGTCTAATGACTGCTCTCTGCTTCAATATTTGTAAGGCAGTCTGACAGAGATATGAATGTTTAGTAAGCAAATGTCCATAATTATGATTTTGCCTCACCTGCTTCCTAAACTCATGCAAGTAGGTAGCATAGCCACTATTCTTCCCATGAGGCTTACAAAAGTTAAGACAGCAGCAATAGAGCCTCACACTGGATCTTCCTGCCCATAGTACCACGCTGTATCCAAGGAGGTATGGTCTCACAGCTAGACTGCTTGTGACTAAACCACAAACAGATTAACTCTGCCGTTAGGCCAATTCTCAGAAACCTGAAAGCAGCTATTGAGTGGCCAGGCTGAGGGTGGTAACCCAGCATGAAACACTGTTTAAGCCTGTGTCCTGCTCAAAAATTACCTGTACTCCGTGGCCCTACACAAAGCAGCTTGGGCTTTCACTGTGGCTGCTGGCTGGCTTTCTACATCATCTTCCTTCTCTCCTCATTTAAGCCCCTTTGCAGAGGGACCAAGAAGTGACAGCAGGAGGAAGACTGGGAAGACAACAGTCAAGCCTCACACCCATTTGGCCTCCAACCCAGAGCAAGTAACTGTGTTGGCCAAAGACCAAGGGCTCTGAGTGACAAACTGCTCCTAAGCACCCCTCAGCAGGGAGGTCAGACTATCATAGTCCTGCTAACTCAGACGACACTGCTGGGAGAATGACCACGCCCCCTGAGGCTACAGCCTGACTAGCCACACCTGGGTTCATAAAATTGATCAATAGAAAGGGGAATGAAAAATCCATGCTTTGTCCCTCCCACAGAAATGCCCATGCCCAAAGCCCCAGAGGGAGGATTAAATACTCACAATCATATCCTCATGGGATGTATCTACGGTGTTGATTACTGATACCTGGAATCAAAGATGGTACTAGTAAATTAACTGACAGCAGAATGCAATATCTCCTCATTAAGTCCACTTTTTTTTTAAGTTCTTGACTGCAAGAGGTAGTTGTCTTTGAGAAGTTTACATGGTAAGATAAATATTTTAACATTATAGGAGTCCTAGGGGGTAGCGGTAGTCATGGACTGGACCTAGATGAGAAGGAGCAATTGGCCAGATGGCGAGGGTTGGGCGAGTACTGTCTAAGCACAGGGATAAACAAGCAGAGACCCAGAGGTCTGAGAGAGCTCAATGTGAACTGCGGAATGACAAGGTCTGCCTCTGAAGGTGAGGTGGAGCCTGGAGGGAGTTAGAGTCCACGTTCCCTTCTTGGATGGCAGCCTCTGAGGTCCCAGGCACTTTATGCATAACACGATTAACATCTACGACTTGGAGACTTGATTCAAACTTCTCCTGAGTCAGCTCCCTGGTCTACCACTTGTGATGGACTCTCACACCTAGTGGCATCCAGGTTTAATAGTTTGAAGGGCTGGGACACAGGTGTTACGGCATCAACCTCCTCATTCTGTGAGATGTAGCTCAAACGAGCCCCCCCATTAAAGATTCTCAAATCCTTGACTGGCTGGACTCTTGTGTAATAGCCCCGCACCCCTACAACACTTTGTGCTGTTTCTTCTCCCCACTAGAAGGGGAGCTCCCTGGAAACCTGCACTTAGTCACATGCAGTTTTGAAACCCTTCAAATCATCTATTGCAAACACAAGGAACTCGGTGACTATTTGCTGAATGAATACATGAACAAAAATTCACTACTTTTTCTTTGCTCAACTATTATTCTCTTAATTCACTGGATAGAAAAGGAGACTTGAAAAGATTTCAGTTTGGAACTGACATTTCTTTCCTTTTTGTTTTGATACTAGGGATTGAACCCAGGGATGTTTTACCACTGAGCCATGCCCCTAACCCTTTTATTTTATTTATTTTGAGACAAGGACTAAGTTGCCCAGACTAGCCTTGAACTTGTCATCCTGTCTTGGCCTCCCCAATTGCTAGGATTATAAGCACGTGCCACCACGACTGGCTGATACTGACATTTCTTAACTATTTCACCCAGTTCATACTTTCTAGCACAAACCTTGCAAGTATAAAATCTGACTTCACTTTTCAGAAAGATGCATCACGGGAGAAGATGGTAACAAAGCAGGTCAGAGGCGCATGATGAGTAAGCTTCAGTTTTCTCATAAAATTCTAACACCTGCAAAAGTGGGCTCCCAGGGTCCTCAAATGCAAGAAAGGAAAAGGAGTCTCCTGTGCGTTGAACTGTCAGGATACAAAGTGCTTTCACATGTGCCCTGGGAGGTACCACGTGCAGAGTCAATTACAGTCACCTGACACACTAAGGCACTGAAGAAGCCCAAAGAAGAAGAAACACCTGTCAAAGTTGCAGAGCTGGGGAAAGACTCATCCCCTAATCTACCAACTCCCAGCCAGAATCCACAATCCACTAGACTCTGGTCCACTGAGAACATAAAATAGTTGTTGCGCTGAAATTCCCTAAATCCAATGGCTGAGAGTGAGTCAGGAAGAAAGTTTGCCGACAGATAGTCTCCTACTGGATTATTAAAGGACTTTAGAAGCAGCATTCATTTCTAACCACCTTCATCCACCAGCCAAGATTGGCAAACCATGCTTGTAAACAAGTGTGTTTTAAAGCCTTTTGTTCTCCCAAGCAGAATGCAACATCACCTCATCAATATCTCCTCCTCTTTATCCTGGTGGATAAAGGATAATAATAACCTGAATATAATTAATATAATAATCTGTTATTATCACTGTTAAAGTAAGAAGCAGCACTCAAAACCAATTCATCTTTTCAGAATCACAAGTAATTTAGAATGAGGTGAACACTGAGAATAAGTGCTTCCAACTTTATTAAGCCTAAGAACCAGAAGCCAAAAGAGCAGCAGAGTAGCTCGCTGCAGAACAAGAACTAATCCCAGGGCTCGCATTCCTGGGTTCACGAAGGCTCCCTCAAACCTGCAGCTCGGGCATATCCACTTCCCTAAGAGCATGCATTTACCACAGGGTACCAAACTCAAGTCTGGAGACTTCCATTCATGAGTTCATTCATGCTCTTTGAGCTGAACAGTAAGCGGTAGACACCACAGAAATTTTAAACAACGGCGGCCTCATTCAGTTGGTCTTTCCTGAACCGCCCCTCATACCTGGGGACGCTGTGCTCAACTGGTCACAATTGAGCTGTTAGAGGTGGTAGGCGGCAGAATGGAACGGTTAGGAAGGTTCGAGAACTCAGCTCTGCCCCTCACCAGCTAGCTCCGCAAGAGGCTTTACCTCTCAGCGAAAGCTTTTCTCGTCTGCAGGGTGACGACACCTTCACGAGGCTGGGCGGGCGGAGATTACGAGCAACACCTGGGGTTTCTAAGGCCTCGATATGGCGTTTGGGGTTTTCAATGGCGGAAGGAAAAGGACGGGGATAAGAGGAAGGCAGGGCAGCGGCGCGGCCCGCAGAGCCCCGGGAGGTGCCGCGGCCTCGTCCGGGTCTCTCGCTCCGAAAGGTCCACAAGGACGCGGACAGAGCACCCAAACCTCCAAGTAGTGAGGGGAGAGCTGAACGGCCCCAGCCCGGGCTTTGAGCCTCAGCGTGGCCAAAGCCTTGGTGTGGTCCGAACCCTGCTCCGTGACCCCAGCTGAGCTGAGGAGAGAGCGACTCACCATAGCTGCTGCTGCGAGAGCGACTCCCGGTCTCGGACGTGGCAGCCTGAGGCGTCGCGTCCGGACGTCTCACTTCCGGCGCCGTGTGGGCAGGACTAATGGCCCGTCGCTCTGAAGCCTCCGGGTAGCAACACGCTCGGCTTGCGCGGAGGCCCGGCGTCTTCCACAGGCCGCGCCCCGCCCTTCTGTGGCTCCTCCTCTTTATCCTGGCGGAACGCGGGAGATCCATGGGGCGGGGTTCTGGTTGCCCCGGCGACCCGGGGGGGGGAGGGCGGTTGGACTCGGAAGCTCGAGGGAGTTAGCTATCCTGACCTAGCCGTCCCTTTTCCTGAGACCTAGAAGCGAAAGCATTAATAATGGCAGCTTCACGGACCCCTCGGCGGTTCTGGGTATGACCAGCTTTTTGATGAATATTGGAAGATGATTACTTTTGTGGGGGTTGATTGGACTGGTCTTAGCTCTTCATTTTTGGTCCCTCCTAAGGACCGCCCTGCCGTCCCTAAGCCCCAGGACCTATGACTTTAGAGACTCCAAATTTCCCCTTGCAAACGGAAAGCCTGCGATCTGTGAGGCTGGCTTATCAGGTAGATTCCCCCAGGCGTGGAGGGAGCTCAGCCAAGCTCCTGTGTCTGGAGTCCAGGAGTCCAACCCTCAGTGTCCCCAACTCCTCCTAGATGCCTGGCTTCCCCAAGGGAGGGCAGCCAAGGATCTCTCCACAAGCACGTGGACAATTCCGCACTGCAGGACAGAGCCTGGGCCACACATGGTCTAGGCCCTGGCCCACTCAAGTACTAGCAGCTTACAGGGGAGACTTGCTTTCTCTAGTGAATCACAGTCCTTCAGTTTCCTCTGTAGAAACTGGGGCTAAAAGTCCTGCTCAGTGATGTCCCCAGGAAGATGTTGATAGGCACAAGCTGTCAAGGAGCATTGGAGAGGAGGCCAGGGGAGTTCCCTGTTAAGTAAGCCTCAGGAAGCAAGCCAGCCTTCCACCCCCACCCCAACTTCTGAGATTTATTTCTCTCCAATGAAGAAATATTGCGGGGGCATGAGGGGGTGGTTTTTTTTTAATATTTTTTTAGTTAAAGATGGACACGATATCTTTATTTTATGTATTTATTTTTATGTGGTGCTGAGGATTGAACCCAGTGCCCCAGTGCCTCACATGGGCCGGGCACACACTCTGCCAAGCTCCTGTATCTACAACCCCAGCCCAGAGGGAGTGGTTCTTAGGGTAGAGCAGGGAACACAGCGGAGGGGGACCTGTTGGTCTCCTGTTCTTCAAAGGATCCCTAGTCTTGGTTGGGTAGTTGCACCACTGATCTTCTGGGTGATAGGTCAATTCTTTCTGAGCCAGTGGGAAATTGGCATAGAGGCATATTAGATATAATTTAAATGTAATGCAGCAGCGTAGTCGTTATTAATGAAATTTCCTGGTGTAAACATTGAGGTTGAAGAAACAGAAAATTTGGGACAAACAGTGGTACAATTCATATTTGTACTCACAAGATATTTGTGAGTGGGACTGAAAGACTTTGTTATAGAGAATTTTAGGTGCTGACCCTGGCATCAAGATGGACAGGTATCAGTACCATACCTCTTGCTTATTATATGAGCAAATCCTTCATTCACCTCTCTGAGCTGCTGTTTCCTTCTCTGGAAAGTGGGAAATATAATACAGGTTGAGTATCTCTTACCTGAAATGCTTGGGACCAGAAATGTTTGATTTTTTGGGATATGGAAAATTCAAATATTCATAACGAGATGGTTTGGGGACGGGACCCAAATCTAAACACAAACACTTTTATGTAGTATTTTTAATAAATTTTTGCATGAAGTGAAGTTTTGTGGTGTGAAAGTTTTACTCATGATGTTATATCAGCATCCAAAATATCTTTTCTTTTTTTTTTTTTTCCAAAACATCTTTGGATTAGGGATGCTCAACCTGTAATGCTGCTTCTGAGAACTGATGTTAAATAAATGAACCTTGGATGTGTAATTACTTGGAAGTAGGATGGGCCAGTGGTTCTTGTTCTAAGCATCAGTTCAACCCGAGAAGAGCTGGGATTGTGTGTGTATAAACCTCAGCTTTTGAAGCAACATTGAGAACTGTTTCTCAATCTGGGAATATTCTCCTTCTCTTCCGATGCTCAGCAGAGCTTGGCAAAGTTCAGACTCCCTCTGTCTTCCCCCTCCCCAGTGGAAGATGCCACCTGTATCCTATGTCTGTATTTCCCATCTCCTCCCTCTGGTTAATCCCAGACCCCAAGTCATTCTTAGCTTTCTCTAACCTGTGCCCTTCACCTCCCAGTCCCTTTGGCCCAGAGTTTCTTTATATCCTCTGGAGGCCTTTCCCCCCATTCTCTCTGAGATGGTCACGTTAAGTTTGCCTCCTTCATTTGGTGGGTGGTCAAAAGGTTCGACCTAGTAGAGGGAGAGCAAAGTGTCCTTCCCAACCAGGGGCTTGATTTCCCCAAATCAAGAAGGTGGGGGCCCAGCTGTCCTTCAGAAAAAGGCTTTGTGATGGGAAGCATGCCTGCATTTCCACGTGTGCATTTATTGTTATTGCTCAGTATAGTGTTGAAAAGGCAGACAAATCCCATTAGTTACAAAGAGCACAAGCCAGAGATACAGAGAAATAAAGAGTGTACAGTAAGAGCACAGTCTCTTCCCAGCCCCGATTGTCCCAGAGCCCCCCCCCCCCCCAGAGCCCGGGCAGCTTATGGAAGCTGGAGGCGGCACCAGTCCCTCACTACTCTGTTATAAAAGATGTGCACACAAGAGTTAGCAAGTGTGGCGACCCCCGAGAGGAACGGCTCGGGAGGGAGAGCACCACAGACATTACAAAACAGACTGAGGGGCTGAGGGGTGGCCCCAAGAAGCCTCGAATCTCTTGTTTTTTGGAGGGGGTGGTGATGGCAGCTGCCCAGGGCCTGGTATCTTTCCCCCTTGCTCCATCTCCTGCCTTTTGGGTGGTGGGATCTCTACATTTAAATCAGGAGAGCTTGATTTGGAACCTGGAAAAGACCTGGGGTTTCCTGTTGTCCCAGTATGGCCTTGGCTCTGGGAGACCCTAAAGCCTTCAGGAAGCAGCCCTTCCCTGCCAGATCCTCTCAAGTGGGGTTCAGATGTTGCTGCGGGAAAGATTTGAGGGGGAGGCTCGTCAGATGCACCAGGTTGGCAGCCTCCGGTAGGCAGAGCAGGAATGGGGTGAGGGGAGGAAGGGCACAGAGAACATCCGGGCAAGAAACTTCTATATCTCACAGGCGCTGAAGCTCTGAATTAAATAAGAGGGGACCCCCACTCTCTGAAAAAACAAAAACAAAAAAACACCTGAAATAAAGTAACCTAAAAACAAGTTCAGGAAGTGGAGACACGAACAAACGTTTCTCCCATGAACAGTACAGCGTGGGCCCCACATTCTCTCCGAGCTCACCCTCATAGCTCTGGGTCTAGGAGAACCCCTTTTTATCTTCTGATGATTGGCGGAAGATGGAGGGTCCACCTCTGCATGATCATGAAGTGACTTTGGTTCCTAAGCTAAGGCTGGGTGGGGGCTCAGTGGACTCTTCCTCACAACTCCTAGGCCTGGGCAACAGGTGAAATGACAGGAGGGACATCAGGCTTCCTTCGAGATTCAGGATTCCCCCTTTGTCCCTTCTGACAGGACACACTGTATTTAGTGACCCTGGGGAGCAGGAATTACAATGTGGGGAGAGGGATGGCACATAGGGTGACAGGACCCAGGATCTGGGCTGGGAGGAGGGCAGAGGATGGAGGTCTTGGCAGATTTTTAACATTATCTCAGAAGAATAGACAGGAGAGAATAACTAGGAGATTTTGTTCAAGTAGGGCGAAGGAGACTCACCCTGCCACAGAATAAAACATTGCAAAGTGACAGTAAGCAAAACAGTGTGGCTGGTGCCAGAAGAGACATCCAGATGAGGGAATAGAAGAGAAATTGCAGAACTAGGCCCAAGACTCCATAGGACGTCAGGAGGGATAGACGCGCCATTTTAACACAGTTGGGCAGAGGGGCTCTTGAGTGACAAGGTTCAGAGTCCTGGCTCAAGAGCAATGTGCTCTCAGAAGCAGGGTGCCCCCGCTCTTGCCAGTTCTATGCTGGGGTTGAGACATGGGGCCCTGGTGAGGGTTGCTGGAGCATTGGAGGCCGCTCCTGAGTTAGAGAAAGCCCCGTATTGCAGGAGGAGCCCTCCCTTCCCTCCTCCACAGGTAGGTCAACCTGTAGCATCAGAGTCACTGAACACGTCTCTGCTTTTCCCTCATCTCTTTTGAGTTGGGGAGCTTACAACTCAGAACTACCCCTCCTACCTTCTCCTAGAGCCTGGGTCTAGAGGACAGGACAGAAACAGAGTGTGTAGTCCAAATTAAAACAGCATAATTTACACAGTATATATTTACTATGTTCTGCTTGATTGGTGTTTCTTTTTCTTTTCTTTTTTTCCTGAAACCACATCTCAGAACCACACCGTGGGAGTCAGAAGAGTCGGCAATTGAAAGCATACCCATTGCATAGTATTAAATGAACAGAGACGGTGAGTTCTTTATTTACAATTATTGTCTAGATAAAAAAATTCATAAAAACAGATGAATGGTCATAAATTATTTACCCCCTAATGGGGTGATCTGCCAAACGTACCCCATGCTGCTAGATATAGGACGCAGAGTGCAAGCTTTGTATACTACAGTGAGTTGTGACAAACCAACCATTTCCTGTGTGCGTGCGTGTGTGGATGTGTGCAAGTTGGAGAGTGAGGGGTCTGTGTGTGCGATTGTCCATCATTCCTGACGAGAGGAGACCAGACGCCCATGTGGGGCCTCCCTGGTGGCTTCCGTGGATCCCCGTCACCCTGGCTGGGATCTGCTCAGAGCACCCCTCCCATTTGCCTTGCATCCCGGCTCCAGGAGCACAGGGGAGTCTGGTGAGCAAGTACGACCATCCTGATATCATGGAATGAGGTCACAGAGACGTGATTGAACAAAGAAGGGGAAGATGGGAAAAAACGTGAGAAAGGAAAACTCCAAAAGAAACTACCATGTTCCAGGGCTGCCCCAGGTTTCCTGCGTGCCGGTCTCTCCTTCCTCAGAGGAGCGAGTGGGCTGGCTTTGGTGGTGTTTATACTAGAATCCAATAAGCACATCCGAGGGTGGTGTTTCCTCTGCTGGATACATTCAGAGAGACTTCTTAGCGACACTCAGGCGATGCTCTTTTGCACGGAAGGTCCTCCTTAGAGAAAGATTTTGCCAGGTGGGATGGGCTGACTTTGAACCCCAAAGCTGTCAGGTTTTTCCACAGCTGTGCAGACACGGGCCCTCCCAGCTGACTATGGCTCTTTTCCCGGTGGCTCTCATCTTGGTAGTGGAAGAGTTCTCTGGGCCTGGAGAAGGGGCAGGGGCCAGGCGGACACGAAATGACTGTGGGGAAGGGTCAGCGAGAGGAATGGACTTTGCAAGCGAGGCGGGAAGTGTTTGGTTTTCCTTGAAGCATGGGACATCATCGATCATGGTATTCAAAATGTCTTTTGCACTGTACAAGTTTATGGAAAAAGATTGTATGCTGAAAAGTCTCAAAGCAAACTTTGTATTAAATACAAAAGTTCTTTTATGAAAAAAGCTGAGACCCACAAAGTGCTTAGCAGTTAAGAGGCCGACAGACAATTAAATAAGCTCTTATTAAGTGGGATTACTAGTGCTGTTATTGTCTTGGGGGGAAAATAGCCACCTTTTCTGACCTGTGATATGGGAGGGTTTCAGAATGGCTTTCTGTCTGGGGAAGCAAGACTTGCTGTTACAGGTTACAGTATATATTGTGGCTAAAGGAAGACAATTTGGTTTTAAAAATCACACTGAATACATCTCAATATACACATCATAAGGTTCATTCGGATCTAAATAGTGCAGAGAAAAAGGCTATTCTTCTTCAAAAATAAAAATAAAAGCAGCAAGCCATACCGATCTTCATCCAGTGTGCCAACAGCTTATACGCTGCCATTTATAAGGAAATAAACTTCTAAATTACTAACTAAAAAAAAAAATCAACACAATAGCATTTATAATATTTCAACACTACCTCAACCTCTGTGCAGACAGCGCCAAAGACAACCTATTTTGGAAATGCTCTTGGTAAACTCAAGCGAGTTTCATTGAGAGAAAAGTCTTGAGCCAGTGCTTTTGACATCCTTGGGTCGTGACAGCCGCTGGTGCCACAAACCTAGGAAACCTTCTCTCCTCTTCTCCCTTCGTCTACGGAGCCTGTGGCTGAACACCTCTGGATGGATCCTCAGTAGCATTTGGCTTCTGCCTGAGCCTCCCACGGTAGTGACGTCATTGAACGGAAATAGCAGGCAAAAATCAGAGCATGGCTATTGTAAAACATCGAGGATGCAATCCAGGGGAAGTGTCTGTTGGGCCGAGCTATTTTTATAGCATCTCAGCCACCAGTGTTCTTGAACCGTACAAATAGCCAAAGACATTATCTACAGGTTTGTAAACAAATTACATTCTTCTTTTAGGACATAAATAAGTTAAAATAGAGCAATTTAAGCAGAAACAAGGCAACATGCCGGCAAAGAAACTTTATATATCCATGTATATATATTTTTATATATATATATATATATATCTACCTATCTATATGGACGTATACAGTCTTGGAAAGTATACGTTGATATAGATACAAAGAAATGGATATAACCTCGTGAGTGTCTATGAAGTTCTTCGGTTCCATTGGTGCAAATCTACTAGGCGAGTTAAGCTCTGCGATTTCAAAAAGTTATTAAATTAATCTATACAACTGAGACCATGCTGCGCAAGCATTTCAAAAACTCACAGACCAGTGGATCGGATAAATAGTCTCAGAAAAGAGTCCTGTTTGCAGTTCCCGCCTAAGAAAACAAACGAACAAAAAAACCCCTCCCCCTCTCCAACCCCCCCAAAACCAAACAAGGGGAGGATGGAAAGTGTCCAGTACATTCATGCGGGGGGACGTGGTGGCCGGGTGGGTGCATGGCTGGTCCATGTCTTGAGTGGGAGCCAAGAAAGGCTCCCTTTGGGATAACTGCTCCTTCCTCCCAGAGGCCCCCCGGGAACCCGGCCCTTGCCTCGAAGTGAAAAATTGTTCAAACAGCATCGCAGCCAGAGAAAGGTCTGTGGGTGGAAACGTCGGGTTTTCTCTCCAGTATTTGGTTTCCTGGGGTTGCTCCTTGCTGCGTGGGTGAGTCGGGTGCCTGGAGGGGTGGGTGCCCGGGAGCGGTGGCAGCGGGTCCCTTAGGGCGGGCCGGCGGGTGGGCAACAGGGTCCTCAGCTAAAGCGACGTCTCCAGGCTGTGAATGGGGCTCCCTGGACTTGAAGAGGTAGCTGATTTGCTCGTGTCGGTCGTCAGGTTGATCCCGCTGTCGATGGCGCTGTTGTTCTTGTTGAGCGATGACGGCGGGCTGGAGTTCTGCTTGAGCGCGGCATCTTCTTCCAGGTCGGTGTCGTCGATGAGGGGGATGTGGGGCTGTGAATCTTCGATCCGGAATTCGGGATGAGCCATGAAGTTATGGATGGAGGTTCGAGACTCGGGCTTTTCTAACCCTTCATAGAGAGAGCTACGGAACGCCTTCACGACGCGGATCTGCAAGGGAAGCACAGGGCTCAGGAGCAGCCCTGGGGCCTGTGGGGGCTGGGGGTGGGGCTCAGAGGATGGGGCTGGAGGAGGGTGAGGGCAGCAGGCGGCTGGAGTCCACAGTCGCTGGGTGCTATGCGCATCGCAGGGAGGGAAGAATGGCAGAGGGGCTCAGGTGATGTGCATCCATGAGCTGGTTTTTAAAAATGGCTTTGGTTTTGGTCAGAACTACAGTATTAGGACAGGAGGGGTCATCAAGCACCATGAAAGAGATGCTGGGACACAGTGGTGAACGGAAGCATGGTCCACTCCAACGGGCACCCCGACCTAGTGAGAGACTGAGCCTGGTTAACTTGACAGCAGAGGTTCGACCATGCAGAAGGGAGTGGGGGGCGGGGGAAGAGACGGGGAAAGAGGAGAGGCTTTTTTTTTATATTATTAATTTTAAAAATAAACCAAAAAACCACACACAGTTAAGAAACCAAACCACATGGAACAGGTTACGTGTCACACAGTAAAGGAACAGGAAGGAGAGACGGCTGGATGAGCGGGGATGAGAGAGGACACATGAGGCCAAACAGAGAACAGGGACATCAAACTGAGGCAGCAAAGCGGATGAAGCCAGCTCAGGTCTTTCTGAGGCGCAGAGCAGAGGCAGCCAGAAAGCACGAAGGAGCCGCAGATGGATGACATTCAGGGGGCAGGGAGCATGCCACAGCAGGATCAGGAAACCACACAGCACACACAGACGGACACACGGCTACACTTGGAAGCCTGGACAATGTGAACGAGATCGTTTGTACCCAGCGTTTCTTTCCTTCATGCATTTGGGAGGTAAACACTCGAGTATAGACTCACAGCCCTGGCCAGTCAGTGGAGCTTGCTTTGGTGGTGGTGGGGGGTTCTCTGGTTTCCTGGGGTGTTTTGTTCATTTCTTTATTTGTGCTTTGAAAACACAAAACCAAAAAATGAGGCCAGAAGCAGATGGCCATGCCCAGCCTCCCCGGGCAGTTCCGGGGGGCGTGTGCAGTGTTTCTTGTCAGTGGTGAGCCACTGAAGACTGGAAGGAGGCTGCTCATTGGGTCTTCAAGGACAGTGGACGGGGACTTGGAAGTAGGAAGAGACCCAAGTGTGGGCTCTGGCTCTGCTGCCTTTTGTGCCTTGGCTGTGGGGGACCCACACTGTCTCTCTGGTCATGCTCTGTCCTGCCTTACAGGGTGCAGAGGGGCAGGACCCTCACCTGGGAGAGAGATGTCCCCTCTCTGGGCTCTTGGGAGAGGGAACATGCCTGTCACCTCAGGGGACTGATGGGCCTCAGGACAAAGGTGCCTTGTGCTCTCTTCCCAGCCCCAACTCAGAGCAGAGTGAGAGGTGGAGGAAACACGGTGGCTGGGTATGGAGTGTGTAAGGGGGGTGGGGCCGAGGGGCAGGGCCTTGGTGACACCTCCAGCCTGCAGGGAAGCAGAGGACCGTGGAGATGGTTGTGGGGAGGCCCTAGAAGTCCCAGCCTGAGCTCTCGGCTAACCCCAGGGCTGGCTCCTCTGATGGCATGGTGTGGAAGCCTGTTCCCTGGGGGTGAATTTTCTGGGTGCCTCTGGTTGGTGATTCTACAAGTCATAACTGAGGCGTATTTCCCTGTTTCGGGGGGAGGGCTTCTATAGCTCTCATGTGCGCTCTGCCTTCTGAGGACGAACACGGGGAGAGTTAACTTGGGTTCTGCTGTCGTCCTTGGTCTGATGCCAGGTCACCCCTTTTGGCTCTCTCCTCCCCCCGGAGTTCCCCTCTGCTGTGGGCCATCAGTTATCAGTGCTGACTTCTGCATGTTTTCTAAGGAGCATCTCTGTCTCTCCAGAGTCCCTCCAGAGTCCAGCACTTGCTGGAATCATGCTTTAAATCAGAGGCAACTGATGCCAAGCAAGAGTTGGCCAGACACCGCATTAGTGCTGGCACTTTGTGATGGCCCTCTTGGCTGCCCTGACTTCCGTATTGGTGGCTCTGTAGAGAGGATAAATACTCGGATCTCTGGATATTTGGGCCATCACACCATTGACTGAGAGAAAATGGCAGAACAAAACAAAAAAGTCCTCAGTTTTCTCATCTGTGAAATGGGAGTGATCAGTGTCACTGGCACTGCCCTAGTGCATGTGCTTTCTGAGGCTGATGTGCAATGAGATGCCGGCTGGAGCACTCGGTACATGTGTGGGGGAAGGGGACAGTGGCAGGCCCCTGTCATGTGACTGACAACGCAGAGGGGACGACACACAATGAGATGAGGCCCTTCCACCCTCCCCCTGGCATGGAGACAACAGAAATAATGAACTGCTCTGGACAAGACTGTGGGGACAAGACTTTTCGGGACACCCCGCCACGGCCATCTCAAGTCTCCACTTCGGTTCTCTCTGTGGCTGAAATGGAAAAAAATATATATGGGAAGAAAAAAAAATGCTCTTCCATCTCCCCTCCCTGCCTGCCGTGGAGATGGGACTTGGGGGCAGAAACCAAGTTTGGGTACAGGGACCAGGAAAGAGGAAGGGCCCAGTGGGCGGGATTCAGCTGGTGTGGCTTGGTCAGCACAGGGCACCTGGCACTACAGGAGGGCTCTGGGGGATGCACAGGCCCCGCTCTGAGACGGGTCCGGGGTTCCACATACTCGAATGTTTACCCGGCTTCAAGGAAGCCAAGAGTCTGGGATTGATTCACATTCATTTCAGGCTCAAGGTTAAAGACTCACAACCTGTTTTAATTTCACTCTCTCTTGCTGAACTCTGTGTCCAGGGTTCTCTAGCCCTCTAGGGAAACAAACACATGGCATATTCAGACAGTGGAGAGGTCTGGGGTCCCCCCAACCCAGAAGCAAGCCATTTTCTCACCAACCCAAGTCGCTCTAAATGAGTTACCAAAATGCTAAAGAGAGGTCCAGCTTTCTGTCCTCCTCCTTGTCTTGATTTCTCTTCCTCACTGTACAATCCTTGCCCTAGCAGTCCTCAAAACCAGGACAGGTGGTCCCCTGTCTGTCTAGGGAGGCATGGTGTCCAAAATGTGGCCCAGGCCTGGCTCACAAGTGGGTCTGAAGGAGCAGGAATTCACTGATGAACACAGAACCTGCTACAGACTTGCTCGGGACAAAGATGGCTTGAGATGAGTTAGGATTTGAGGGGGAGAAGGGGAAGAAGAGGCCGCCGTGCAGCCTGGCGTTTGAATGGGGTTCTGGTCACCAGTGGGAAATCATGCTGCGTCTTGTTCCCTGCCAGGCTGGGGGACTTTTCCTAGTGAATCTGTGGGTGTGGGCGCCTGTTGTGGAATGAAAGTTCAGCCTCCATGCCTCCAGGTCTGTGGACTTGTCTGGGAAGTGGTACGGTGTGATGAGACAGTGAGGGGACAGATTTCCTGCCACTCCTTTGCTGTGGGTGTCTGTCAGTGTCTTCCTCTGTTCCACTAACATGCTGGTAGGCTGTCCTTTCTTCCTAGTCATTTTGTGACAGGATCTTGCTAAAGTTGTCCAGGCTGGTGATCAACTCTTGTTGGCCTAGGGACAGTGGTTTGACTTCTCTAGGGACACACAGACTGCAGCTCTCTGTGCCTCAGCAGGCACATGGCCATCTTTGCTGAAGAGCCCCCAACGTGTAGATCCTGCTTTATGGGGGCAGCCCCTCTCTATCCACCCAATGGGGCCCTGCTGCTGTGTCCTGGACACTTGATTCAAACCTCCCTGTGGGCAGGAAGCATTTTGGCTTCTCAAGGGACCTTGCCTCATATCTAGAGGGTCCTCAGAGTCCTTGGAGACCAGAGGAGGTGACATTGTTATGGAAACTATTCAAGCAAAGGACTAGGGATGTTTACTTAGGGTTTGCACAGTGACCCTCGTGACCAAATGTATATGTTGAGACTATAGAGGTTGGGATCCCTCTTGGAGCCAGTGCCCTTGGGCAAGAAGATGGTGAGGTTCTTTTTGGGATCCTATGCCCTTCTGGGATCCAGTTATCGGCTGGACTCTAAAACAAGAGGGTAGGAACGCTAGGTTAATGGCGATGGGCTTGGGTGAGGGAGTTGGTGTGACCAACCCCACTGGGGCTTTTGGTAGAATGAGGGGTCAGGGGTGAGGACCAGTAGGTCAGCTTTGGGACAGCCTCTGCCTAAGCTCCATTCAGAGGCTTTTTCCAAAGTTGAGGTCAGTTGGGATAAGGGGGGGGGGCTGATCTGGGCTGGAGGGAGTTTAAAAGTGGGAATAATGTGCATTTCTCTGAAGGAACAGTGCTGTCCCATTACTGGCCTCCTTGAATGGTTTTACAAATGACACAAAGAAGAGTGAGAAGGAGGCGTGGAGGTGTGAGAGGACTGAGCTTTCTTCTTGATCATGAGGGCTAAGCTGAGGGACTAAACCCAGGGAAGGTCTGCCAAGGCTGTGTGGGGGCCCAGGAGTGTTGGGTGAGTTCTGTCCTGGCCGGTGCAAAGAACTGTGCTTCAAGAAAGAGGCTGAAAGAGGCCAGGCAAGGTGGCACATCCCTGGGATCTCAGTGGCCAGGGAGGCTCAGGCAGGAGGATCACAAGTTCGAGGCCAGCCTTAGCAACTTAGCAAGGCCCTGTCTCAAAAATAAAAAATATAAAAAGCAGGGCTGAGGATGTGGCTCAGTGGTTAAAGGGAATGGAAAAAAGAACTGAGCTTGTACCCAGGAGCCACAGTCCTGGCAATCAGGGTCACCAAGAGCAATTCTGGAGTCACCAACAGGGGCATCTCCATGCCAGAACACTTGGTGACTGCACTTCTAGACACGTGGGGTGCTGCGCAAGGCCAAAGTTAAGCTACTACAGGGACAGGAAGGAGTAGAACAGTCATCTGGGTGAAGGTCACCACTGAGGTGAGGGCTTTGGTCTGAAGGCCAGAGAGGGTGGGACCAAAGTGTTTCCTGCCCAGAGGGAGCCTGGCCGTGATCTCCTAGGGACGGCACCTTATGGGAACGTGACTCAGACACCATCTGCTTACATACATGTCCACATCCCCTGGCGCATCTGGTCACCCCATCGCTGTGTTTTTGTGCTAATGAATGAACATTTTCTGCATCCTTCCTGCAGTCTTGTGAACTGGGCAGGAGATGAGTGCAGGCCATGGACAAGATCAGGTTCTTTGTGGTCATATGGAATGGCTCCCACACCACACACAAGTCCTTCCTGCTGGGGAGGGAGGAGTGTTGCGGCTGCTGTGGTTTTGGGTGCAGGTAGGGGCACTTCATGAAGCATCAAGAGGTAAGGCCCAGAGTCTGTTTCCCTCTGTCTGGTGGGAACACTGGACCCAGGGACTCCCTTGAGTGTGTGTGGGGGTCTAACTAGAGACAAAACCAGGGAGCATCTGGGAAATACACACTGACTCCTTCTGGGGCCTAAAGTCATGGAGAAGCCAGGAAATCCAGAGATGAGGGATGAGAGACTCAGGTCAGAAGGGGCGGCATGAGGAGCGGAGGAAGGAGATGAAGGAGGGGGTCACAGTCCCAGGCTATCCCTCAGACCCTCAGATAAAGAAGGACAGGATGCCAAAGGTTAGACCTGAACGCTCCGAGCCTGCTGGCACCCAGAAGAGATGTGAGGCATGCCCCATGCCCATGGGCAGGAGCCTTGTCTTTTCCAGGAAGGGGTCAGAAATTTAGTGTGTCCCAATTTCTAGTAGGGAACAGTGTTTGTAAGTCCCCTGATGCCATCAGATGGGCAAGGGGAGGGACATTCTAGAAGGGAGATTTCAGAATTTTTGGACTCCTGACTGATGGTGACCTCTGGCCTACAGGGACCTCTTGGCTTGTCTGTCCCTCTTGGTCATGATTTCCCACACTGTTAGGTATTATCTGATCATCTGGGAAACCCGAGATGACATGGGGTCCCACTGTGACCCCTGAGGGGCTTTTACCCTGACCCACAGTACCCATTGCTTGACTCTGACTGCAAGATTGTGACCTGCAGGCCAACTCTGACCCTGGTCCTCACGGGCTAGGCTTTTCCTGACAAAGTACAACTAAACTAGATGACACTCTGGCCAGCTCTGTGACTGCCTGTCATGGCCTCTGGGACCTGTGGTGGACTGAGACCATTAGATCACTGAAACCCAAACCCTCCTGACCGCTGGTGATCCTCTGACTCAGACCTTTGGACTGCATGTGACCCTAACGACACTGGTTGGTTGTAACCCGTGGACCCAGCTGACCCTGGCCTGCTGAGTGACTGGCTATGACCTCCTGACCAACTGGGACCCTCTTCAGTGGTAGTGACCCCTTAGCCCCCTGGGCCTGATGTGACCAGCTGCCCCCCATGTCCTCTGGCACCCCTGCCCCTGCCCGCCCCGGGGGCTGGCGTTGGTGGCGCCAGCAGAGGCGGTAAGGAGTCACACTCACGCCCAGCTGCAGCAGGAGGAAGGCTGGTCGGAGAGGAAAGAGCATTGGACAACGACACGCGACTAGGGCTAGAGAGATTGGCTACGTCCTGGCTCTGGCTGGTGACGGAGGACTGTCTCCGCAGGGCCCCTTGAAAGGAGGCCCCGCTCTTGAATGTATTGACTACTTCAATCTGCAACGGAGGAGAGAACGAGACAAGTTGCGAGAAGAACGGACACGACAGCTACACAACTGACAGGCGCAAGGTCACGAGAACAGCCGCAGCCACGGCGACAACGACGACGTCACTTAAATCAAAACAAAAAATACCAGACACACTCCAAGGCTCTGAAAGATGTCTGCTCGGCTCCGGGCCCATCGGTAGGCCCCAGGGTCCCCGGGAGGACACAGGGTTCCAGCCTCTCCCCTGTGCTAAGGGCTGGGGACCGTGGCTGGGGGAGGCTGGGGGTGAGCATGCTGTTTGGCCAGAAGAGTAGCTGCTCAGCCTCCCTGGGCCAGGCCTGGAGCCAAGAACATTGTGGTGGGGGCCCTGGGGTGGGCAGACCTTGGTCCAAATTCTGGCTTTTGTCACTTACTAGCTAGGTGACCTTGGGCAAGTCCCCTGTCTGAGTCCTGTTTCTTGTCCTTAAGAAGGGGCAAAGCCATCTACCTGGCAGGCTTATCTGCAAACAGCAAACACCAGGCCCACATTAGTGCTCAGGAAGAGGCGGGAATGGAGGTCCTCTGCTCATGCCCACTCTAGAAACTACACTCTTTGGTCCCTCCAGCAATCTGGAGACCTGCGGGGCAGTGACAGTCGCAGGGCTGGAGCCACCGGATGCTCTGCCCCCACAGGAAGTGGGGCCACTGGGGTCCCGACTAGGGAAGGGGGTGCCCAGGCTGCATCAGGTGGCTCTGGGTCTGAAACCCACTCCCTGTCCCATCCGGGTCATGCCATCTCAGCAGAAGGGCCCCCTCAGGGGCTGAGTGGCTTCTAGAACTGGGGAGGCAGACCCACCTGTCCTCTCAGGCCATAAAGGTCAAATGAGACGAGGTTTGGGAGTGGCCCTGTGGGGTGAGAAGTGGCCCAGGGGAGCCACCTGCTGCACAGGACAGAAATGAAGTTGCTAGTCCACCTCTGGAGACCGAGGTGCAGCGGTGGCTCTTTGCCAAGCTTTCCCAGAGGGTCAGGGAGGGATCAAGGACGACCTCCCCAGCTGGAGTGCCCCTGGTGGTCTCTCAGGTCAGGAGGCCTCTCTCTTGGTTTCTTGGTCCCCTTTTGACCCCGACCTCACAGAACGGTGACAGCGTGCCTATGAACAGCCTCTGACTGGGGGAGGGGGCTCTGGATGAGCATGAGGCTTGTGGAGGGACATGGTTTTTACATGCCACATGGTGGTTCCCCAAGCGTGTGCGTGGCAGGCGCGGGTGTGTCTGTGTACCTGGGGAGAGCCACCTTTGCTCCCCAGGGCCTGTTTAACACCTGTGGGAGTCTGGGGAGTGTCTGGAGCCCTTGTGGGGGCAGAGGATGCGCGTAAAGGTCTCACCCCAGGGCCCTGAGAAAACCTGAGGCAGCCCTGGCCTGTAGCTTCCACTCAGCCTTGCCCTACCCCTCCTGGTGGCTGTCCCCAGCCACCACAGTCCCCTCACTCACCTCAGCCCTCAGAGCTGCTCCTCTACCACCCTCCCAAGGGACTTCTCCTGGAAACCCAGGGTGGGATCGGCCCCTGCATTGTCTCCTGGGGGGCCACGGTGTGATGGAGTCCTCCTGAGGGGGCTGCTCTGTCCTTGTAGCAGCATGAGTGTGTGTGTAAGGAGCGTCGTGTGCGATGGCTGGTGACAGAGTGAGGGCTGGTCTGGGACCTTGCAATGCTCTTCGCAGGGCGCTATGAAAGCCCCCTGGGCCTGTCTGTGGCCACCCTCGGTGCCAGAGCCACCTCTGGGAGTGGCAGGCACACACTGACCTCTGCCACCACCTGCCAGCAAGGCCTGGGCCCCACCCTGGGGCTTCCTGTACCTGTGTCTGAATCCGATTCAGGCCCCGGAACCACAGGATCTGGCCGCGGCGCAGCTCCCTCTCCGCGTGGTCGATCTCCTCCACGTCCTCGTTGAGCTCCTCCTCGGGGATCTCCTCCTTCTGCGTGAGCCTGCCTGCCTCCTTCAGGAACTTGAGCCTGCTCGTGGGGATGGTGGCGATGACCTGCAAGGGACACCACCCAGCAGGGGTTCAGGGCAGCCTGTCCTTCCAGCTTCTCCTCCACTTCCTCTCCCTCCTCCTCTACCAGCTCGTCCAGCCCCAAGACCCACTTGCTCCTTAGCCCATCTCTCCCATCCCTTGGCTCAACTTTTTACAAGTTCTTGTTAACTTGCTTTTTCACTCACTTGTCTAGACTCAGGGGCACAGTGGGACCTCTGGAAGACATCAGACTGTGACTTGGAAGACATCAGACTGTGCTGGTTGTGTAGCCCTGGGCAGGTCATGTACTCTCTCTGAGCTTTGGTTTCCCCATCAGTGAGGATGCAGCCGGGCGTGTAAGTTGCTGTGTAGACCTTCTCCTATGGCTGGCCCTCAGGTCTCCCGGGTTCATTTCCCCCTGAGGTCACTGGTCATGGGATCCCCAAACTGGGGGAACAAGGGCATAGGTCCTGGTGGCCTGGGGCTAGCCAATCTTGGACGGGGAAGGCAATATGGGAAGGGATGTGCCTTCTCCATCTGAAGGCTTCCCAAATGGCTTATCCATGGGTCCGAGGCCCTTAAATCCATGAGGATAGACACTCAGCCTAAGGGTTCCCTGGGAGTTTAGGGACAACACTGTCCACTGATATTGACCTTAGTCCCTCAGTATCTGCTCCCCCAGATGCTGAGAGCTTAGAGTATGGCTTCAGTGTGATAGAGATGGCCTGGTCCCAAGAAGTGCCCAGAGAAGGGGGTTCCTAGATCAAATTGAGTCTATCAATTTTCCAAAGAAGCTCCAAATTTTAAAGATGAAACTCCTGGGTATAGTGGTCATTTCAAAATGAAACCTGTAATCCCAGCAACTTGGGAAGTTGAGGCAGGAGGGTCACAAGTTCAAGGTCAGCCTAGGAAATTTAGACCCTGTCTCAAAATTAAAAATAAAAGGTGCTGGGAATATAGTTCAGTGATGGAGACCCACTGGAGTTCCACCTCCAGTTCCAGTACTGCTGATAACTTTCTTCTGTATCTTCTAGTTAATTTTTCTCACTGTGGCTTCCTACTCTGGCTTAGGGACAGCCATGAAGGAGAAAATTATGTCTCAGGCCCATGGGGTCCCCACTGCCTGGGTGTCTGACACCTTGGAAATCAAGCTCCTTGGGCCCAGAATGGGCTCTGGACACCTACCCAGCACCTGAGTCATGAGCAAGCAGAATTGTGATGGCATGTGTGTGTGTGTGTACATGTGGGTACACTCAATGCTCATGTGTGTGTGTAACTCGGCAAACACAGGGGAGGGAACTGACTGAAGAATGTCCTGGGATCAGGGCTAGAGGGGTCACCAGAGAGTATTCCCAAAGCCAGGGAAGATCTCTTGTGACCCCAGGCACAGTACTGCATCACACTGCAAACATGGCAGGATTTGTACCTCTGAGTCAGGACACCACTGACTAATGTCCCCTTTCAACACACTGGCTTCAGGCCCTGAGCCTTGGCAGGCCACAGTGTCTAGCTAGCACTTAATAACATTGTGTGCTCATGACATTAAACTTTTTGTTAGCTTCTGTTTATGGCAAGTGACTGATTTTCTAGTTTTGTTAGTAATATAATGTTGCCTTTTGAAGTAAATTTGTTAAAAAAAATCCCGAAGTGATTAAAAAATATTAATAATAGGAGCAATGGTAAATTGATAAAAGGCAAAATTCAGAGTAGTGGCATGCAGATATCTAGCATTTGGGACCTGGACAGGCCCCCACTGCTCAGATGCCCAGAGATGGTGAGGGCCTTGCCTGGGGTGGCAGTGAGTCCATGGCAGAGCCAGGACCCATTCCTGGGGGCTCCTGGATTCCCTGTCCAGTGCTCTTCCCTTCCCCTGCAGAGAGGCACCTCCTGCAACCCCCAGGAACCCACCTGGCCCCAGACGAGCTCTCCCAACCCGATGAATATGCACCACATCCACTGGTCCAGCTGCAGCGGCGAGCAGCTGAAGGGCTTCCCTCCAAACTGCACGATCACTATCTGGAGGTCAAAGGGAGCAGAGACACAGGCCCTCAGCGGCCGGCACAGAGGGCTGGGGTGCTCACTGCCCAGCCCAGCCCAGGTGAGGGCAGGGGCCTGGCTACCTGGATGGCGAAGGTGCCCAGCACGATGGTGCAGAAGATGGGATTCCGGAAGATGCCATCGAAGACGTTGCGCTCGCCATGGATCTTTCGGGCGTTGATCTCATTGAAGAGCTGCATCATGACGAAGGTGTTGAAGATGATGGTGTAGTGCTCTGAGGGTGGTGAGTGCAGGGGGGCGTTCCTCCCACTGTCGATCTGGAACATCTTCTCGCCTGCCAAGCCGAGAGGGCAGGGGCTGGGCTGGGAGCAGCAGAGGAGGGAGGCACGGCTGGAAGCAAGGGGCAGGGTACAGCCCGCACTGCTGCCTGGTCAGTGAGGGAAGGGTCAGCAAAGCCCTTTTCCTAAGGGGCAGGGGGCAAAGACCTTGGGGAGCTGTCTTCCGCCTTTCCTGTGGAAATCTGAGAAAGGTGGAATGCCAGTTGCATACTAGGTGACATTGCTTATAAGAAGTGACCCTAGATTGGCAAGTGCATCTGGACCGGGAGGACAAGAAAACCTGTGGGAAGCTGCTATGGTTTGCCAGTGTCCCCCAAAGGCTCAAGTGATAAAGGCTTGGTCCCTATCCCACAGTGCTATTGGGGTACTTTCAAGAGGTGAAGCCTAATGTGGGGGTCTTACGGTCCCTGGGATATGCTATCAAAGGGGATTCTGAGACCCCAGCCTCTTCCTCTTCCTCTCTTACACTTCCCCTCCATGTTGGGCAGTTTCCTCCAGCATGTACCCCCTCACCACAGGCCTAAAAGCAACAGACTGACCATAGACTGAAACCTCCAAAACTGTAAGCCAAAAATAAACATTTCCTCTTTTCAAGTTGATTATCTCAGGTGTTTTGTTACAGCAACAGAAAGCTGATCACATGGAGGCCATAGATTTGAGCTTCCCTGACAGTTCTGCTGCTTGGCACTGAGCATGCCCTTGCTGAGACCTCTGGAAGCTCATGGGGCTGTTATAAGAGATCCCCATTCCTATGTGAGTGTGGGGCTTCTAGGCTGGGATGGCCTCGGAACCACCCTTTTGGGCGTCATCCTTTCACACCTGAGCTGTTGCTTGGGGTGGTCCCCAGATTGCTGCATGGATGCCTGTTGGTGGCATGTCTGATGCATCCTGTATCCTTTTGTAAAACCTCATGAGCTGGTGCCAGGAAGGTCATGGAGTTTTCTGGGAAGAAGGTGTCCAGCCAAACCCAAGAACGGCAGGTGATGAAGTCGGGGTTGGGTGGTGGTGCGGGCAGCAGGCAGTAGGAGCCCCAGTTCTCCTGCCTTTCTCCCACCACTTTCTCCTAGTGTCTCAAGGTTTTCTTTCATGTGGCTTCCTCTATAGCTTTTCAGGATAATTTTTACAACAGTAAACTGTGTCCCGACAACACATCACTTTCCAGATTTACAGAAGATGACTGCCTTTTTTGGACTGAGACCCTTGCCGCGCCACCATGCAACTCTGGGTGTTGAGGGCGCATGCTCATTAGCATTGAAAACCCAGCTCCAGGCTGGGGATGCTGCACTGGCCTGTCTCTGTGTGACCAACCCCTTCCTCTTCCTGGGTTGGGGACCATGACCAGGGATAGGCTTTGCCAGGATCATCTCGGAGGCTCCACAGAAACCAGGCCATTCTTAACCCCAGCCAAACCTGATTCTCTTTCTAGTTCCTCCTCAGACCAGCTGTGTGCCCTTAGGTAAGCACCTCACCTCTGTGAGCCTTGGTGCCTTGGAGTAATGGGGGGTCAAGGTACTATAATTTGGATCTGGAGTGTCCACCAGAGGCCCATGTGTTAAGACTTGGTCCCCAGGGTGGTGCTACAGGGAGGTGGTGGAATCTTTGAGAGATGGAGCCTTGTGCGAGGCTTTCTGGTCACTGGGGCATGTCTTCGAAGGGGGACATGGGCCCTGGTCTCTACTGCTCTCTCTGCCCCCTGGCTCCCAAGGTGATCAGTTTTGCTCTACCCCATGCTCCTGCCATGAAGTGCTGCCTTGCCATTACCCCAAACAACAGGGCCACCTGACTGTGGACAGAAACCTTCAAAACTTTGAACCAAAATAAACTTAGATTCTAAGTTTTCTTGGGTATTTTATTACAGTGACAGAAACAGCTTCCTAACACAGGAGCAAGGGCACCTGCCTCATGGCGTGGCTGGAGGCCTAAATGAGGCAGCTTCGGTGGAAGCATTGTGTAAGTGGCTGGCAGTTACACAGACGTCTCCATGAGGACGCCTTCCCTGGTGCAAGAGAAGGTGCTGGAAGAGGTCAGGGAAGGGGTCCCAGCTCTGATGAGCTGACATGAAGTGCACTCATCAGCCCTGCACCTACCTTGTGTGATGTGCACTCAGACCTGGGAGCTGCAATCCATGGAAAAAACCCTAGATTTGGGGTCAGCTAGGCCTGTGATGGGGACAGGCTCTGCTCGAAGCTCCCTCTGTGACCTTGAGCAACTTATTTACCTCCCTAAGCTTGAGCAAAATAGGAAGGTGGCTGTGAATCCAGATGCCAGGTCTGGGCCAAAGTGTCCCTGGAAGGTGGTGACAGGGCCACTGAGGATGTGGGCAGGGGGCTCACCAACGAAGAGCAGGGTGAAGATGAGGGTGAGCTGGTAGACTGCGTGGCCCAGGATGTTCTTCATCATGGTCCGGGAGATGAGGGGCTTGTTGCGTCCATATGGCTTCCTCAGAAGCAGAGTCTCAGTGGGCGGCTCTGTGGCCAGAGCCAAGGAAGCGAATGTGTCCATGATGAGGTTCACCCAGAGCATCTGCACAGCCTTCAGAGGGGAGTCCTGGGGAAGTGGCCCAAGGAGAGCTCTGTCACAGCAGCCAGCCCCTCCTCTGCCATAGAGTGCTGGTAGGATGTGACGGAGGTCACATGAGGCTGGCCTGCCCAGTGGGTTCCTGAGCAGGTGCACAGCAGGTTCTAGAAGCCTCCTCTGGAGGACTGTGTAGAGCTGCCCACCTCAGCCCTGTACCCCACCACCCCAGGAGAAGGCAGAGTCCCCCAGGCCCAACAGCCACCAGCTTCTTGTAATCTTAGCTGCATCCCCGCCACCTCCCTCCCCCCTTCTCCTGGCCATGTCACAGCACAGCCCCTGCCACTCCCCCTTCCCTGCACCTCCTGCTGCCTCTTTCCCCTCAACTGTCTGTGGCTCAAGTCTCTCCTTTCCATGACCCTTGTTCCCAGTTTCTCCTTGCCTTTTATTATCCTACGTTATTCTAAAAAGCCTCTCTTTGTGTTTCTATGAATTTAAAAATAATACATTTTCAAGCTGGGAAATTTTGGCACATAAGGAATAGCAGAGGAGGCTAAAAGTCTCTGGGGATCTCACAGAGGTTACCACTGCCCCCATTCTGGTGTGTGCCCTTCTAGACCTCTCGCTGACTGAGACGGGAGAGTACCGCGTGTCGGGCACAATCACAGCGCATGGTCTCCACTGCCTGAAGGAGCTGAAGCTGCTGGTCGCCCTCCCTCCTCCTGCCCCGTAGGCCTTGTCCACAGCTGTAGGCTTGGCCCCTCTATGTCCTCAAATGCCTTTCTCCGTCACCAGCCACTTCTGTATCAGATTGAGGGATCCATCTTCCAGCCACACCGCAGTGCCAGGCCACTCCTGACCCCACTCTCCTGGTCCTCCCTCCTTTTAAAACTGGGTTCCTGGGCTGGGGTAGTGGCTCAGCAGTAGAGTGCTCGCCTGGCACGTGTGAGGCCCTGGGTTTGATCCTCAGCGCCACATAAGAATAAATAAATAAAATAAAGGTATTATGTCCAACTACAACAGCAACAAAAAAATATTTTTAAAAAACTGGGCTCCTGTGGCCCCTTCCTGGGCCCTGCTCTCCTCTGCGTACCTGCCTCCCTAGCTTCAGGGACCCACCTCCTCCCACCTGGCCTCTCTCCAGCCCAGATCCCTGTGGCTTTAGCCTTGCCCATCTGGGGCCCATGGAACACAGCCTTCAGGAAGCCCACCCACCCTGACCCCTCTGCCTGTGCCCATGCGCTCACTCACCTCCTAGGCAATTGTCACAGCCCCTCCTGGCCAGCTCCCCGGCCTCTGTCCTGGCTCAGCCGTCCCTCTTGGGCTTCCTCCTGCCCCTCAGCTTTCTCTGATTGAGTGCACCTCAGGGACTGGTCCACCTATTCCCCCTGGTCCCTGTTCAACTGGTAGTTTTCTTGGAACCTCAGTTTCCCCACCTGGTACCAGTTAGATCCGAGAAGCAAGAGTTTCTGTTGCCATGGCAGTGTCCCCAAGCTGCCACTAGAGGGAGCTTCTCATCCACAGGAGAAGAGAGGGGACTCTTCCCAGCAGAAGGGAGAACCCAACCATCCCTATCTCTGCTCTTCACCCCACAGGGCTCTGACTTTCAGACTGGGGCAAGCAGTGGTCACCAGCAGTGTCCCCATGACTCGGATGCAACAGAGGGGAGCAGGGTTCCCAGGGCCACACAGCTTGGTAGTAGTGCAGCACTCTGGGATTCTGGGGCTCCTGAGTACAGGGGCTTGAATACTGAGGTGGCTGCTGGAAGGCGTCAGACCTCAGGGACCTCCCAGGGCTGAGGCAGCCTACCCTCTTCCTCAGGCCAGGCTGGTCAGCTCCTGGAGGAGGCAGGCTGGTAGCAGTACCAGGAGGCTTCAGGAGCAGTGGTAGGTGCCTCTCCTACTCTGAGCCTCAGTTTCTGCCTCTGTCAAATGGGAAACATCCCAATTCCTGCCTCAAAGTGAGGACGCAGTGAGGCTGAAGACCTCCAGGTCTTGCTTTCTAAGCAGGCCTCACCTAGCCCAGAGGACAGGGCTGCATGAGACCGAGAAGAAGTGATCTGGATAAACAGATTCCCGCTTCCTGTACTGTCCCCATCCTGCCTCTCCCAACGTCACTGCAGAACCAAGGCCCCTAGGGGCCCCGCTGACCCTCAGCTGGTCCCGTGATCTACATTGGGCCTGCACTGGCCCTGTCTCCCCCTAGCCCTGGACCAAGAGTCTGGCCAGTGCCTGGCCCAGGACCATGGGGGTGTAAGGCTGACATCTTCCACTTACTGGGCCACCTGAGCCATGCCACCTCTCGGGGCCTCATTTCCTCCACTGCACCGGGGCTGGCACCTGCACAAGGAACTGTGATGCGGTTCCTGGCAGGTGCTCCAATCACGTGTGCCCCAATTCAGGCATTCTGACACAGCTCAGGAAGCTCTCAGCTGGGGGTCTCTGCCCGCACCTCAAGGACCCACCTGTGTGATGCATGCGCCTGTGAAGGCCACGATTACAGCCACCACGTTGACAGTCAGCTGGAACTGCAAGAACTTGGAGATGCTATCATAGACGTTGCGACCCCACATCACCGCCTTGACGATGCTGCTGAAGTTGTCGTCTGTCAGGATGATGTCTGAGGCCTCCTTGGCTACATCCGTGCCTGCGATGCCCTGTGGGGACAGGGACAGGAGCCTGGAGGGGTGGCCGGGGGAGGTGAGTGGCTCTATACTGCTGTCCCCATCCCTGGCACATCCTCAGCCCACCACAACCCGCTCCTGTTCCATCCCAATGGGCCGAGCACAGCCAGACCACACACAGGGACACACACAGACCCCCACCTGGGCCCTGCCCTGGACCCTCTCCTCCCTCACCCTCCTGCTCTCCAACCTGCAAGTGCCCCTCCTTGCAAAGCTCTCCCTGAGCAGAAGGACTCCTCCCTTCCAGGAAGACCTCTGGGGCCAGGTGGAGGCTGGAGAGCATTGAATGCACACAGGGCCTAAGGGTCAGCTGAGTGTCAACTGGGGGTCCCACAAGCCACTTCAAGGCTATGTAGCCTATGTGCTCCTGCCAGATTCCACCCCAGACCCCTGAGAGCCGCTCCTACCATGGCGAAGCCCACGTCAGCCTTCTTGAGTGCAGGCCCATCGTTGGTCCCATCCCCGGTCACGGCCACCACCTGCCGCTGCTCAGTGTGTGTGCTGTCGATGATGCCTGTTGGGGACAGGAGTATGCTCAGGGCCTGGGCCAGCCCTGAGCCTTGACCATGGCCATGGCCCCCTCTTTGGCCCCTGCTTAGCTAGCCCCTGCTGGCGTGGCTCTTCCCAGCACCTGCAGGGCATTCTGGGTACTTGGTTAGCCCAGGGCTGGCTGGAGGTCCTGTGTGGTCTGGGTCCTGTCCACTTTCCAGTACTGTCTTTGTTTCTTACAGAACTTGGCCACACTGGCAGCCACCCTAACCAGAAAAACTGTCCCCTTGGTCCCTCTGCTTATACCCAGGGCCCCTCTGCTCTCCAGGGATTCTCAAGGTTTCTCTGGGGTTCTACCATCTTCCCTACCAGCACCTTCCCCTTACTACTCTGACCTTGGCCTATCTCCAGACACTCATCCTCAATAAAAAATTCAACGAAAATGAGAATGAACAGATGACACGTGGCCCCAGTCACCAGGTGGGTCAGTGGAAGAGGGTAGGTGAAAGGTGTCATCATCAGGGCCCACTGGAGTGTGTGGGACTTGTTACTCATGAAGCTACCAGGCAGAGATGGCCATGGGCAGGACAGATATTTGAGTGTTGACCTTGACTCTTATTCCACACAACAGATGCATCACCAAGGCCTTAGATTTCTGGCTCCAAAATGTCACCGAAGTCCTTTGCATTCTTTCCTGATCTCTGCAACTGGCATTTCCACTGTCCCCTCACTAACTTGGGGCACCCTGGAACTTGCTGCAAGACCCTGTTTGAACCTGTCCCTTGCCCCTCAGAAAAGCCGTTCACTTCTTCCCTGGGCCTCATGATAACATGCAGGAACCTCTGAAACCCATGATCGGGCCTCTCCACTCTGATCTCTTCTCTTGCCCCTGGACCTGGTCTCTCTTTGCCACATGCCTGGATGCCACTGGCCTCTGTTCCTATAAAGGCTGTTCCCTGGGTTGGATATATTCCTGTCACCCACCTATAGCTTCAGCTTGGATGCCACCATCCACAGAAGTCTTCGTAGTGCCCTGAAGACCCCTGTCACTCCAAGAGCATCCCTGTAACTGCTGCCTCCCCTACCCCCTGAGCTCCCTAACTTGGGGCACTGTCCCCTCTAAATTGCTCCCCTCAAGACCTAGCTCTCATGCCTGGTGCCCCTGAATTGCCACCACCCAGTAGCCAGCCCCAAGGCCCTCTGCCCTGGACCTGGTCTCTCCAAGCTGGTCCACTCGAATGCACACACGAGGCCTCTGTCCTCCCTGGTTCCCTCAGCCTGCAGGGGGCTGGCTCCTCTGTGGCTAGATGAGGGGGGATTCTTTTCTCTGTGGCTCCCTGGGCTGGTAATGGGCTTTTCCTGTTCCCAACAGAGCACAGATCTGGGACAAAACCCTCCTGTGGCTGTCTCTTCTCACTCTAGGCCCAGTGTGGCCCTGCCCTGCGTGGCTACCGGGGGCTTCCCTGTGGCCACATCTGTGTCCTGACCCTCCAGACCACATCTGTCCTCCTCTCCCACAAGCTTCCGTCCTGGCTTTCCTGTCACCCATCACTCCTGCTCCTCTGGTCACTTGTCCTTGGTTCTACTGGCATTCTTGGCCACTGCCACCACTCAGGTGGGCACTCCTGGGTTTGGCAGCTCCCCAGCTCTTCCTTCTTGTTCCCCCAGCCAGGCCTGTGTCTCAGGCCCCGCACTCTTCCGCCCTGAGGGCCAGCCACTTCTGGTCAGCTCTGCTTGATTGTCAGAGGCCGCAGCGTGGCCAGTCCTACACTGAAAGCATCAGTTTTCCTCAGATCTGTCTTGTCTCCTGTGACTCCTGGTGCCCAGCTGCCCACCTGAAAGGCACTGGGTCTGCAGTGGGCCCTCAAACAGGCAGACAGCAGAGGTCCTGGGCCCCTGCCCCTTCAACCCCTTACAATGTCCAAACACCCGGCTCAGACTTCCACCTGGAAGGGTTTCTCAGACTTGCTGACGGCTGGCCGCCCTGCCTGCCACCATCTGGTCCTTGTGGCACGCTAGGCAATCCTGGTGGTCCCTCTTGCCTGCAGGTCACTCTCCCAAAGCAGGCTGGGTTTTATGAAATGGTGGTCTTTTCCACATGACCCTCCCACATCCTGACCTTGGGGTAACAGCACAGGTCACAGCCACCTACGTGGCAAATGCTGTGGTCTGCAGGATGTGATGCCACCTGTCTCCTCCAGTCTCCTCCTCAGCTTTCCCTCTTCCAGGACTCCCATCCAGGTAACTGAATTTACGTTCATTCCTTGGTGTGCTGGGGAAAACTTTTTTCTCTGGACAGTTCCAGTGTGGTTCCCTGTCCTGTCTGAAAACCAGACCCTTCCTCCTGGAAACACCTTCCCCAACCACCCCTTGCCTTCCATGGCCTGTGACCTGACACCCTGCCCAGCCAGAGTCAGAGGGCAGCAGCAGGCCCCAGCACAGCCTTCTCTGCCACCCATGCAGCCTTTCACCCTCTGCAGGGACACTGCCTATTTAGTGTCCACTGCCTGGGACCTGCACCACGAATTCCAGAGGGAAGGACCACATCCACCTAGATCAGGGCCTGGATATAACAGGTCCTCAATAAATGGTCACTGAAAGAATAAATAAATGAATTGATGAGCAAATGAGTGAATTAATAAGAAATGAGCATGGGTTGGAGAACTTTTGCTTCAGTATCTGTGCTTCAGGGCTTCTGTTTCTGTCCCCAGGCTAGATCTGCCTCCATTAATGTCCCTGGGTGACACGTTTGAGACAAGAATCCTAGACACCTACGGATGACCTCAGGCAGAAGCCTGGATCCCACAGTCAATTTACAGATGGGTAAATTGAGTCCCAGAGTGGAGAGTCTTGTCCACGGCCACAGAGCAGGTCAGCAGCAGAGCCAGGACATGAACCAGAAACACCTAGAACCTGGCCCCCAGAGCTTAGCATGTGTTGTGCTCTCTCTGGGCGGAAATGGGGAGAGAGAAAGACTGAGGCATTGAGCCTCACTGCTCAAATCGCTGTGCCCAGGACAGCCCATCCCCGAGTCTCAAGATGCCAAGCACACCAAGGCTCTCGAACTCCTGAGCTCTGGGGCCAGACTGAGAGCAAGTGAAGAGGGTTGACTTTCAGATAACGAGCAGTAGCAGTCTGTCAACCACAGAGAGCAAGATCTGTATAAAGTCACTCAAACTCGACATTTAAAATCCCCACTGGCCAAATAAAACATATCTGTGGTCCCCATATGGTAACTGAGCCATGAGTTCGAGACCCTAGATGGGCCCAACCCTAATATTTCTTGGAGGAGTTGGAGGCCCAGAATAGAAGGCTCACAACCTCCTTTGGGCCCTCAACAGGCATCCCTGGGCCGAAAAGCATCCTTTTCATAAGAGCATCCCCAGATGTGTAGACTCCCAGAGAGGGTCCCTTCCCCCCGTCCAGTTGTATGGAAACACCAAGTGCCAGGAAATGAGGATTAGTCTCTGGCCTCAGAATTTCCCAAGACCTCCCACATCTCACCTTTGACCAGGGTGTGCTTGTCTGTCGGGGAGGAGCGAGCCAGCACCCGCAGTTTTGGCCAGATCTTGTCAATTCGCTCCTGCTCAATCTGCAGAGGGATGAGGGAGAGGGTCAGCAGGATCAGGGAGAGAAACTGAGGATTGAGGAAGAGCCCAGAGTATACTGGCTGGTCTCTGCACAATCATGCATCACAGCGCCTGTGCCTCCCAGCTCCCTGCCCCATCAAATCTAGTCCCTCTGAGGACATTTACCCTGGGACACGTACCTCCCCCTTCTCGTTGCGGATCCTCCGGTTGAACTCTTTGCCCTCCAGACACAGGAAGTCTTCCCCAGGATGGATGATACCACACTTGATGGCGATGGCCCGGGCCGTATTGATATTGTCACCAGTGACCATGCGGACAGTGATACCTGCCCGCTGGCACTTGCGGATGGCTTCTGGGACCTAGACAGGAGGGTAGGATCCATGGGGGAGGGCACCACCCCTGGCAGGCCCCTGCTGCCTTCATGGGTCCCAGAGTGAGCCCTTCTCATAGGCAGCTCCACTTAAAGTGGAGTAAAAACCCCATGAGATACTGATGGCACAGATAGAATACAGGCCGTAGCTTCTCTTCCTGTGTCCATGGCAGACATTGTTAATTGATCACAGTATCCTGGATTGAACCTGATGTGGGCTCAGAATTCCCAGCCAGAATCCCAGGCAGCCAGCACCTACTGACCATGATAGTCTCTCCTGAAACCAAACTACTGGATCCCCCGAACTGCATAATGCTTTGGAAAGACCCTAATGACCACCTTCTCAGATCAGGCTCCAGGCCAGAGTACAGAGCACCTAGTACACTTGAACTGGACCAGCTTTATCTACAAGCTCCATGATAAGTCTGTTTGTGTATTTTCAGGCTTTTTTTTTTTTTTTTTTTTGAGGGGGAGATGTTTGCATTTGGAGGCATTTTATTTACAGAATGTGACATTGGATTAGAATAAATCCGAATGACTATGCTGTCACTTAAAATAGGACATTTTGCTGAAAGTAAGGATTGCATCCTGCCTTCTCTGACTATAATGACAGACTGATGTTTGGGCCAATCGGGTCAGATTCAGACCCAGCCCAGCCAATCTGAAGGCGGCAAGGCCCGCCACCCCCTAGGCCCCAGTAGCTTCCCCAAGCAGAGCAACCAGGATTTACCCAGCAACCAGGATGTGGAAATTAGCCTGGAGCTGTGGCAGCCCTTTATACAGAACACAGATCAACTGAATGAGTGATTCTTACCCATAGGCAATAACAAATAATAAAATAATAAGACTATATTTGCTGCAGAATGTCTTTGAGGGGGAGAGAACACAGCAAGGGCAGAAAATCCAGTTGTCCAGAAATACGAAAGCACTAAAGCACATTGGAATTCTGGACCCAAGAGCTGAGTCGTGCACACCCTAGTGACTGAGGCCTCACTCCCATGCCTCCTCTGCCAAGCCACTGCTGAGCTTGGAAATGCATTTCCCCCCAAAGAGACCCCGAAGTCCTAAGCCCCCATAGCTCTGAAAATGGCCTTACTTGAAGAAAGGGTCTTTATGAAGGTAATTACACTAAGTTGAGGTTCTCAGGAAAAGCCCTCATCCAGTATAACCGGGTCCTTAGGCACAGAGGAAATTTGGATGCAAAGACATGCACAAAAGGAGATGTCAGGGGAGGGAGAAGGCATGCCAAAGAACAACAGAGACGGTCAGCAAACCTCTAGAAGCTAGGAGAGTGGTCTAGAGCAGGCCCTGCCCACTCCTGGATCTTGGGCTTCAGCCTCCACAACAGTGAGACAAATTTCCACTGTTTGAGCTGCTCAGTGTGTGGTTTACCTGCTGCTCAACAGAGTTCAGTCCTGATAAACCCACCGTTAAGTTGAAAATATCAAAAGTAAAAAATGCACCAAATAGACCTAACCTACTGAACAGCCAAGATGAACATCAAGTACCGTGAGTTGTTCCCCCTCGTGATCATGGGCTGACAGGCAGCCGCGGCTCACTGCCCTGCCCAGCATCAAGAGGTTTTTCTGCCCCATTTTGCTAGTCTGGAAAAAGATCCAGATTTGAAATTCCAAGTACAGTTTCCATGGAATGAGTATTGCTTTCACACCTTTGTGAAGTCAAAAAAATTCAAAATCTAATTATCGTTAGGTTGGGGGCTATCTGTACTTTGTCATGGCAGCCCTGGCAAACTGATGAATAAAATACTTAGCATCTACTATAGTTTAGATCTTGAACGTCCTCCAAAGGCCTGCGTGTTCAAGGCTTGGTCCCTAGACTATGGTGCTATCGGGAGGTGGTGGAACCTCTAAGCGGTGGGAGGTCTTAGGTCACTAGGCGTGTGCCCTGGAAGGGGACTATGGAATCTAGGTCTCTTCTTCTTCTTTCTCTTTTGCTTCTAAGCTGTGATGTGAACTGCTTTGCTCTGCCATGTATTCCCACCATAATGTGTTGCCTCGACATGGGCCAAAAAACAATGGGACCCAAACAACCATGGGCTGAAACCTCCAAAACTGTGAACTCAAACAAACCTTTCTTCTTTACAAGTTGATTCATCTCAAGCATTTTGTTATAATAACAGAAATCTGACTAATACAGAATCCTTTCCCATCTCCCTGCCTTTGCCCATTCTGTTCCTTCTGCCCTCCCTCAACCTCTGTGTGTCGTATGTTACCCATCTTACATGTAAAATGCTTTCAGCTCATGAAGCCATTCTGAATTCTTCCAATCCAGTGGGATATTTCCTTAAACTATTCTCAGTAGTTTCTTCTATCACTCAGACATTTGTTCATTCAATGAACTGTTATTGAACATCCTGTTCAAGGCACTAAAGATGCAGAGATGATTAAGACTGAAACCCCAGAGGCATTGATCTGGTTGAAATATGCTTTCCACATAAATAAAATTGCTGTTAATTTTTTTTTAAAAAGGCTTCTTTTGCTAAAATTATCCTAGATATTTCTCACTGAGGAAAAACAGCCAGGAAATGGGCGCTTCCTGTTTTCATTAAATAAAGGCTTTTAAACATCTGTTGTTTCTGGTGACAGCCGTTGTCTGTGACTCTAAGGGCTCCAAACACCCCCGGATAACCCGGCAAGTCCCAGACCGCCATTCTCCTGATGGCTTCATTGATGTTGGCTTCCGTCAGCCTCAGCAACGTCTCAGGGTGGGAGTTTTGGCAAATATGTTTTTAACTGATTCTTGCCTTTGGTGGTCTCCAGGGGGGAAGGCAATGTGGAGATTCACCCCACTGACAGCTGGGAAACCAAGGGGGGCATAAATCATCTTCCTCCTATTGCAAAATGAATCCTAGCATGTCTAAGGACCCTAGAGGTGGCCCAGGTGGAGGCCATCCTCCTTTCTGGGCCTGGGCAGGCTGGAGGCGCTATGCAGGGTGAACCGAGCTCAGCAGAGTTTGCAGAAATGCACCCACCCTAGGCATGGATGCTCCCAGAGGGTCACTCACAAAACCGGTGACAGTGCTGCTGTGGAGGTGGGAATTGGGGACTAGCATGGTGGTAGGGTTATTTCACACTTCTGTACTTTCTGAATTTGGTTCCATGCACACAAATCACCTATCCTAAAAGAGCAAATCAGTAAGACAACTGTATCCACTGGGCTCCTCGGGGCCTGCACCCATCCCATGCCCCCCAGGGGGAGACGCAAATCAACAGGACTGAGCTTTTATGCTTTCAGGTCGTGTCCCCAGCAGCCCTGACATGTCCCAGGGTTGTGAACATCAGACCGTTCAAGCGTCTGGTTTTTCAGATGAGGAGACCAAGGCTAAAGGGGATGCACCTGAGGCCACCTAGAAGGAGTGGCAGGGGCAGAATCAGAGCCCACATCCTCTGACTCTGCCAGGCCACTGCTGTTACATTCAGATTATGTCCTGAGGGCAAGCCTTTGGGGCACGGGAGAGGGCCAAGATGGATTCCCTGATGGAAAGAAGGATGAGCAGATGAGAAGATAGAGGCACAGAGAGGGCCCCTTGGCTTATTGGTGGTAAAGTTGGGGGCTGGCATCCAGGTCCTTTCCAAGTCTGCGTCTGAAGCCACTTACTCTTGATGACCCTGCCGCCAACAGCAAATGCCAGGGACCCAGCTCTGCTCCTCTCAGGCCCTGGGTGTGGGGAGTCTTTCCTCAACCTCCGGACACAGAACGACTTGCCCCTTCTGTTTTGTGGCATCTAGGCAAAGGCCGTGGGGCAGAAAGGCAGAAACCTGGCCTAATCGGGACTCGCTCAGCCTCTTACAGGGAGTCTCTGGGAACATCCCCGTCCCTCTGTGGGCCTCAGTGTTTCCATCTGCAAACTGGGATGTGTAGAAAGCTGTCTGGGTGAGATGAGGGTTCAGACCTCTAGCCATGCATCTTGAGTGACTGTGAAGACAGTGGGTGTTGATTGGCATTAACAAAAAAAAGGAAGGACAGAAAATTCTGCACTACGTGGCATTACTTTGTGAAATTCTTGGGTTGGTTAAGCGTGTGTGCTGACTTGAGTCATGACATAAAATACATTTCTTCTTATTTTGGGTCAGGGCCCAAAAAATGTTTGTACTGGATTCTCTTTCCCAGCCCACCTCAGAGGTGTTTCCGAGGCGCCGTGGTGATGAGCCAGGAGCTCTCGGAGGGGTGGAGGAGGCTCTAGAAAGCAAGGACAAGGGAGTCCCCAGGGCGTGGTTAGGCCCCGCCTCCTTCTGCAGGGAACAAGCCACTGTGGCCTGTTCTGAGAAATTTCCAGTAAGGAGGTAACGCATCGCCGTGAGGCCTGAGCCCATTAGCGGTTGGTAATGAGCAGGCGTCCCCTGGGGGAGCTGATAAACGGCCTGTGTACCCGGGAGGGCTGCGGTCTACAGAAAAACACACGCGGGCTCTGGTGCCAAGCGCCAAGCTCCAGGGTGCTGACTGTCTTTGCTGTTTTAGGATCGGGGTAGGATGAGGGGGCCACAGTGAGACCCATTTGTGTGTGTGACAAGAGGAGGGAGGGAGAGAGACAGAGAGAGAGAGAGACTTGAGCACTAGATACGGTGTTGGAAGAGTGGAGTTCAAGTCCATTCATTCTCATTCATTCTACAAATCTTTATCGAGCACCTCCTGAAGGCTCAGCTGTGGGTTAGGGGACACAATGTGTCATTGGATCCAGAATCTATGGGGAAGGCGGGAAGAAAGGGGACCTTCATTTTGGGGCCATCTACCTCATACCAACACTCTGCTTTTGTTCATTCAAAATGGTACGATCAGACCCTTCACAATATCCCAGGATGTGTGTGTGTGTGTGTGTGTGTGTGTGTGTGTGTGTACACATCGGGGAGGATATTATTATCCGAAGTCTGCAGATAAGAATCAGAGAGCTTATGTAACTGGCCCAATGCCTCATAGCCAGCAATTCTGGCACTCAGGATCCTGGTCCGTCCCATGCCAGAGTTCATTCACTCTTTGATTCCTCTCCCTGATGCCTGAGTGGAATGTAGAATCTTACGGCATCAGGCCCAAGAACTTGGAGGACAAAAATTCTACCCTGTTTCCCTTTAAAGAGGGGAAACTGAGGCTCTGAGAGAACAGGGACTGGCCAGAACATGGTGTCAGGGCAGGAGGGGACACGGAGGCTGTCCCTGCTGGCACACTCCACACTGGGCAGTCTATCCTCCTCCCTTCCTCCCGCCACACTCCAGCTCAGGATTCTTGTCCTTCTCTCTGCAGGATGCAGATTCAGCTAAAGGAGACTGAAGACCTACTGTGTGCTGAGTACCTGTTAGGGGCTCTTCCACAATCACCACCTCCATCCATGTGAGGAAGGTGCTGTCACCTCTGCCCACCTCCTGGAGAGTGTGACCTGACACTGAGAAACTGATGGGACTCCATTTTTGAGAAACCAGCCTCGACCTCAGAGCAAAGCCTGTCCAAGGAAGGGGGCGTGGCCCTTGTCCTTGGAAAAACCCACAGAGCACTCCTAGGCACATACCCACCCTGCTGAGTTGTTTGCAAATAACAGGAGAGATCTGCAGAGCCAAGTGTCCCTGACTCAGTCAGGCTAGGTGAGGACCCATAGCAACCCCCTAGCAACCACCAATCAGCATGAGACAGGGAAAATACCTGAGATGCCAGATGACCCCCCCAGTAGTTTATGGTGGTTGATAACATGTTGGGAAACCCTGTAGTTTAGACATACACCCCTCATGGCTTAAACCAATCAGTTCAAACGAGTCCCCCTCTTATACTAACCAATCACCTCTACCCAACTTGTTCCCGCCAGGGAATGCGCTAACCAGTGTTAAGAGTTGTTGTTTGACTTTCCCGCGGTGTGGAATGATTTGCTGTGTGATGTTGTGACGCATAGAGTATCCCCTAAAATTTATAAGATCTCACTGAACAAAGGACCGGGGCTCACTCCCTGGGACCGCTGTGAGTCCAGGCTCGAGCTTGCAATAGAGACTCTTGTGTGATTGCATCGGATTTGGCTCCTGGAGGTCCCACGAATTACATGACACCGTGACTTGTGCGAGCTCGGTTCCTCTGAATGTCAGAGGTGTTACCGGGCAAGCTGGCCAGGGGATGGTGACTGCTAAACTGCACCTGGACAGAGAGAAGTGTAAGTACTGATGGGGACACGGCACTTGGTGTTCTCCTGAGAGCAACGGCCCTTGTCATTGGGTGTGTCCTTTGCCCAGGCCTGGAACCTGGGCCGAGGGGCTTGTTACCAGAGCTCCTGGTTCCTGTGAGGTAAAAGGCTTCTAAGGCAGGGAACTCCCCACACCTGTCCCTGGGGGGGGGGACAGAGGGAAGGGCACCTGGCGGCGGGGAGGACAGGCCCCGTAGCAGAGCACCAGGACCTTACCTCAGGCCGAACGGGGTCCTCGATGCCCACCACACAGATGCAGGTGAGGTCATTGAGGATGTCATTCTCGTTGTCCCAGTCGGGCTCGGGGCTGCTGGGGAAGTCACGGTAGGCCACACAGATGGTGCGGAGCCCGTCGCAGGCCATGGGCTCGATCACCTTCTTCACCATCTCGTCCCTGTCTCGGGGCCGGAAGACCCTGGGCTCACCTGCCCCACTGAGGATTTTGCAGCACCTGGGGGAGAGTGAAAGGCAGGTGAATAAGGCCCAGCCAAGGGCCCAAGGGGTGTTCCCCTGCCCACTGGGGATGTCCAACTGGCCACAGAGTTCAGGCAAGGCCCACCCGGTCCATCTCCCATAATGCCTCAGGACTAGGTGCACCCACAAGCGCCCAGGTCTGAGGTAGGGTAAAACCAGGTGACCTTAAAATATCTGCCCAAGGCCATTCAGCAAGAGCAACCCTGCTTTGGTCAGTTATATGTGTTATCTACAAGGTTTCATTTGAAAAATTAAAAAAATGGTTTCCAAAGGCCATCAAACCTCGGCTAGCACTTTTTGGCCCCACTTGTGTACTAGGATCAACTGGGGGAGCATTTAACAAATACCCACGTGTGCATCCTGCCCTCGGGTCTCCAATTCAAGTTATCTGGGGTAAGTCCAATGATCAATGGTTTTTAAAAAAATCTCCCTGGGGTGATTTGCATGGGGCTGCTGGCGCTGAGAACCATCGGGCTAGATCAATCCCTTCAATGTACGAGCCAGGAAACTGAGGCCCACAGAGGACAGTGACCTGCTTAGTTCCCCAGGTTTATCTCTGGCACACAGAGTCAGAGGAACTTGCCTGATGAAAACCAAATAACTACCACCAACCAGGCCTATGAGAAGGGAAGCAAAATTAAGAAGTGTGACTGTGGGTAGAACATCCTGAGGATCCAGTCTCTCAGAAGGCAGGGAAGACTCTTATCTGTAGAAATTTTTAAGAGGATACAGTTAAAAAAGTGGTGGGCGAGGGGTGAGTCTTGCTGTGTGACCTGGTGCTAGATGGACTCTCCAGTCCAGGGGTGCTGCTAGGTCCAGCATGGACGATGCTGGCATTGCATGGCCCAGAGGCCCCCAACCCCCTCCTCCAGCTCTGCCCTCAGCCGGCACCCTGCTGGCCACTTACTTTTTGAGCACGATCTCAGAAGCACCCTTGCTGTACATGCGGAAGCTCTCGTCGGGCATCTTGATGACGGTGCTCATGGACTTGCGCACGGAGTTGAAGGTGTACACCTTATACAGCTTCTCCTCCGGCATCTGGCTGCGCACAGGCTCATAGTCCTGCTTCAGATCCAGCACAAAGCCCAGCAGGCCGCATTCTGTTTTGTTACCCACCTGCCGAGGCAGGCCACCCTCCTTCTCCGGGGGCTGTGGAGAGAGGCAGGTGCGGCTCACACAGGGCAGGGCCCGACCCTGGGGAGCCCTGGGTCCACCCTTTGCATCTGGCCTGGGACATAAGCCACTGCGTCCCAGATGGAGTCCTGACTCCAGATGCAAATCATGAAGCAAGACAGCTTTTAATAATTATAAATTATTTCAAATAACTATGAATTATATCAAGCATAAAAGAAGATAATGATAGAAACAGTTGTGTACCTACCACCCTACTTTGTAGAATCTTGACATTATGCCATATTTGCTTCAAAATTTTCTTTCTTTTTTTTAATATTTATTTTTTAGTTGTAGTTGGACACAATACCTTTATTTTATTTATTTATTTTTCTGTGGTGCTGAGGATCGAACCCAGGGCCTCGAAAGTGCTAGGCGAGCGCTCTACTGCTGAGCCACAACCCCAACCCCCAAATTTTCTTTCTGAAGAAGCAAAACATCTCAAAGAAAAGTTGAATCCCCTCTGTATATCTCTTCTCATCTGCTCACTTCACCCTCGACCCAGAATTAACCTTTATGTTAAATTTGGCTTTAGTCGTTGCCATGTATGTGTTATTCTTAGATAACTGTGGATTCACATGCAGTAAGAAATAATACAGAGAGCTCTCATATATCCCCTTTGTCCAATTTCCCCCAAAGTTAACTTCTTGCTTCATCAAAGTACAGTGTCACAAACACCATCAAACTGGCCTTATTCAGATCTCACCAGCTTCTCTTCCACTGTGTGTGCACGTGTGCATTTAGTTCTTCACAATGGCATCATGCCTGAATTCCTATGATTACCACCAATGTCAAGATATAGGACAGTTCACCGCAAGGGGCCCCCTGCTACTCCCTGGTGGCCACAATCAACTCCTCCCTGGCCCTGGCCATCAATAATCTATCTCTACCCTTTTGTTATCCCCCCCGGCTTATTGTGGTGCTAGGAAGTGAACTCGGGGTCCCGGGCATGCTAAGCAGGTGCGCTACCACTGAGTTACTCCACCAGCCTGCTTCTGTCATTGGAGGCATTGATACAGGGAGTCGCACAGTAGGTTAATTTGGGAGATTGGCTTTGTCCACTCAGCATAATCTCCTTGAGATCCAGACAAGCTGTTCCATGTGGCCATGATTTATTCTCTTCATCAGCTAAGTAGTGTCCCACCGTGTGGATGGATGGGTCATCTCTTGTGATTTCGACTCAGGTTGAGCCAAGTGAAATGGCTAGTTCTGCATGTCAAAAATGGCCCAAAGGTGGCAATTTCATGAGGCCATTTAACCTAATGTCTATCCGGGTAGGACTCTTTTGCACGTTGAGCACTTCAGACCTGGGGACTGTACACATTCTTCTGTAACTTGCTCTACTCACTCCACATTCCATTTGTGAGATTCTATGTGTTTTGGTTCTAGTTTGTTCTTTTTAACCTGTTGCGTAGATTTCATTATACGAATAGGGTGCGATTGATTGACTTATCCCTTTTGGTCCCTCCCTTTATTCTTCTCGCTTGTTCTTCAGCACTTGCTACATCTTGGCCCTGTGCCAGCAACATTTGCTGCAGAGATTCTCAGTAAAACAAGGGCTGCCTCTCTCCCCCAGCACCCTTACCCTCACCTGATTTCGGCCTCCACTGTTATTCTGGGTGGGTCCTTCTCCCTTTCCTGCTGGGCACAGTCCCACTCATGTTTTAAGGATCAACTCAAACATCTTGTATTTGAAGATTGCCTCTGGGGGACTATCTCTTGTGTTCTATTCCTCTCTGGGTTCTCAGGGGTACTGCAGAGCCCAGCACACAGTAGGTGCTTGCCAACTGCTTGAATGGCTCAAGGCAGCCCAGTCTTCGCATGTTTGCAGGTCAAGGCAAGGTGCTCCACAGGGGCACTAAGGGGGCACTAGCCCCTTGCGGTGGGAAGGGAAGATCTGCAGGTATGATCCACTCCCTTGGGTGCCCCCACACATGTGCACACCCACACAAAGCACTTGACATTAATATGCAGTCACTCAGGTGGAGGTGGCTTGGGGAGCAGGAAAAGCCACCAGAGATAAAAAAATCAAAACCAGAGAGCTATTAAAGAGGGACAAATAGCAAGAAACATGCCTGTCCTCCTCCGTCCCAGTAGTGACATTTCATGGGTCTCAGATCGGCCTTGCATGCTGGTCCTCAGCTTCCTTGAGATTGCTCAAAAGAGCAGGGTGGGCAGGAAGAACAGGGATTCAAGAAGATGCCAGCTTTGTAGGGACCCTCCATCGTCAGTTATGTCCTGGGCCTATTCTCCCCTTCTGCAGTTAAGGTTCAGGCCCAGGAGGCAGGTCCCAGTCACATGGAGACACAATTATTGACACACACAGTGGTCCTGAGACCCAGGAAGGAAAGAGACTTAGAACCTAAACGTGTTCTCAGTTTCTCCATCTGTGAAATGGAATGGGTAGGAGCAGATGGTTTCCGAGAGAGAAATCAAAGCTTTCCTTAAAGTAGACTTTGGTGAGGGATGGTGGAGGGGAGAAGGTCCGTCAGCAGGTGACTTGGGGACCAGGGAAGGGGACAAGGCTCAGAACATCTTCCCAGGTCCCATGACAACATCAAGCACCTTGCAGAGTTGCCCTCTCTATGCTCCATGATGAGATTTCACTTGGAAGCAGAGAAATCTTTGATATGACTTCCCATTTCTGGCATTAGGAAAATAAATTCTAAAAGCTTCTTTTTTGTTTCCACAATATGTTGTTAGGCTCTAGTGTAATATATATAAAATACAATTTTATAATTAACTTTCTGGTGATTTCCAGAGTTTTATGTATGTTCCACAACCGTTTTTTTTTCTCCCCTCTCCACTAATGAAAGAAAATGACGACTCCAAGGACTTAAATAAAAATGCCTAATTACTTATTTGCCCAAGAGAGCTGAGCAGTCATGCCTGCAAAACACCCAACATTTTATTACCCTCTGTGAAATATTTTAATTTTCCTCTAAAAGGATTTCAAACAATCCATGGTTACAAATAGCAAGCGCTGCCTCCTCCGTAATTCAATTTGTTTCCATGAACTTGAGCTCTGAAATCGCCTACACGCGTTACTAAGAAGCGTGCACCCTCCCCTTTTCTCTTTCTGCATTTTTTTATCCTGACAAGCTCAGAGGTTTCGCTCTTGCTGTAAAAATTCCAAGAGCCTTATTAGCTCCAGGACTCCAACTCTGCAAAGGAGTTAAGGTGTTGGTAGTGTTCCTGTTTCTAGGGACAGGAAATAGCCCAGGAGGGAAGTGACCTGCTCTAGGTCACAGTCTCACTGAGGGCTGGGGCCCGGGGCTGTCCCTTCAAAGCTTTATCTGGTACATTTCCCTGCTCGGCTGTTGAGCCCTTTGGGAGTGCGAGGTGCAGCCATGGGCGTAACTTGGGACAAGTCATGCTTCTGATTTGGAATGCTGGATGTTTGGGAGTGAAACAGATAAAAATCAATGAATGATGATGAATTATAAATAACAAACTATAAATATACATGATCCAAATTGTAAATAATATCTGCAAAAAATGAGATTATTAAAAAATCCAAAGCATGTATCACCTTGTATCCATTAAGATAACTATTATTAAAAACACTACCAACAGGGGCTGGGGATGTGGCTCAAGTGGTTAGCACGCTCGCCTAGCATGTGTGAGGCACTGGGTTAGATTCTCAGCACCACATAAAAATAAAATAAAGATATTGTGTCCACCTAAAACTAAAAAATTAAAAAAAAAACACCACCAATAAAAAAATCCCAGGAAATAACAAGTGTTGGCAAGAATGAGATGGAACTGGAACTCTTGTGCATGGCTGGTAGGAATGTAAAGTGGTGCAGATGCTGTGGAAAACAGTATGGCAATTCCTTAAAAAGTTAATTTCCAAGTCCAAATCCTAGGTACACACCCCAAATAACTGAAAATAGAGACTTAAAGACATATTCGCATACCCATGTTCACAGTGGTGGTATTCACAGTAGCTAAGAGGTAGAAGCTATGTGTGTGTCCACTGATGGACGAAAGGTAAATAAGATGTGGCCTATCTGTGCTATGGAGAATCATTCAGTCTTACAAAGGAAGGAAATTCTGACACATGGTACCATATGGGTGGACCTTAAGGACATGCTAAAGGGAAAAATGCCAGTTACCGAAAGACAAATACTGTATGGATCAACTTATATGAGGGACTAAGAGGGGCTGAATTCATAGAAAGCAGAGTGCTCCCCAGGCACTGAGGGGAGTGGGGATTGGGAAGGAAGAGTTTACTGTGGTACAGAATTTCAGTTTTGCAGGATGAGAATTCTCTGGATGGGTGGTGGTGATGTTTGTGGCACAGTGTCAAGGTACTGAATGCTACTAAAATATACATTTAAAAATGGTCAATTTTATGGTATGTGTATTTGACCACTATTAAGAAGGAAAAAAAATCAAAAGAAATTCCATGATTAATTGCTACAGTTTGAATCTTACATGTCCCCTAAAGGCCCATAGGATAAAGGCCTGGTCCCCAGCTTGGTGCTATTGGACTCTGGAGGGGACTTTAAGAACTGGGGCCTAGAGGAGCGAGCTCTTAAATATTGGGACCTCAGTCTCTTCTTCTTTCTCTCTCACTTCCTGGTTGTGAGCCTGCAGTCTTGCTCCCCCAGGAGCCACCATGATGGGCTTCCACAAGCCCAAAGCAATGGTGTTCATGAATCATAATCTGGAGGCTCCAAAACTGTAAGCCAAACCCCATTCCTTTTTTTTTTTTTTTAAATAAGCCAACTTACCTCAGATATTTGTTACAGGGACAGAAAGCTGACAAACACAATAGGGAACCCCATGGCATGATAAGCTGCGATGCGAGGACGGACCTTGGAAGTGAAGCCTCTCTCGATGCCAGACTAACCACCAGCCCCACCTCAACGGTAGCCATGACCAGCTCTCCGAATGCCTGCTCTGTTCTCATTGCTTCCCTGAGCTCTTCACATGCGTCCCCTCATTGCACCTCCACAGCTCATTCCACAGTT